CAAAATATGTTCTGTTTTATGTCACACTCAACCCACTACTTGACTGAAGGCTGGGTTATGTATAGGTGGTTCTACAATGTGTTAAAGTCATTTGAAAGGTGTGGAAAGATATTTGTATTTCAATATAACAGGACTCGATTCAATTACACCACAGCCTGCAGTGGTGTTTTCAGAAAATATGAACACTTTTAAGGCAGTAATTCATTACCAATGCAAATCAAGGAATTTTCCTTAATTTACTTCAACTAAAGTGCATCATTTAAGAAAACACAGTATAATAACCATCACAATATTAACATAAAAATCCCATCTCAATTTGGATAATTATATTAAATGACTGTGAGCTTTTGAACAGACTGAGGTTGATAAACATCTCCATAAATATAATGTTAGGGCTTGTTAGGGCAACAAAAAAAGAAACAACTTCATCCTAATATTATACAGCTCTCAGTATCTACATGAACAGCAAAGTAATCCGGCGGTATTAAAGGATATCTGGCGTCCATGTTTGTCAACAGACAGGGGTTTCTGGTGGGGGGATGTGATGCGGCTCCGGTCCCGGTAAACTCTGTCCACCAGCCCGTGGTGTCGCGTCGATCTGTTCATGTCCAGCCCTGAATTCTGAAAAACAAAGACATGAACAAATATTATTTACTCATCAAAGTGTGATTCTATCATTTAATTACCATTGTTTGTTTGTGAAGGTCTCTCTAAATGAGTCTGTGTATTGGACAGTACTGAATATGATGTGCAAAGACAACTAAAGCATTTCTTAAGTTTCTAAGTCATACATTAGAAAAAGAAAAAAAAAGGTGCTGCACTAGTTCATGTAGCTGGGCCCAGTTACACTGGCCTTGGCCCACAGAGAATAAAGCTTGGGTCTGATTAATGAGAAAAGAATGTGCAGCATGTAGAACAGGGACGTAAGCCAATGGAGCTCAGAGACAAATGTATAGAAAACTGTGCAATGACTGTGAAAGTAAAAATGAAGATCAGGAAGGCCCTTTCATTCTGTTGACATGCACTTGTAAAAGTATTTCATGAGTAACAACATGAGCCTTCGTTTTTCAGCTAACTCCCACCATCCTCTGTCTGAAGAGAAACCAAGAAAGCACTTTCTTCTTAAGTTGTTTGGGTTGTCAACCTGAGGGTCTCAGACCAAATTCTTTGTATCTCTGTCCCTAGAGAATGATCTTACTTATAAAGTAAAACAGAGGTCTTAGAAACTACTGATGTCCCTACATTGATCCCATGAATTACTATTAGGTTAAAGTAGTGTCTTTTACTACATATTCATGTGATGGCAGTATATTGTTTACATACATTTTTCCAAGGATAGAAACGTTAATATTCATAGGAAAATGTTCTCAGCTCTTTTTCACTGCAGCACTAGATGAGCATTTTTGAAAATGTCTTGATATGAGTTTAGACTAAGATATTCCCTAACCCAGCTTTATTCCCTTTAGCTTTTCACTCTGATATAAACAGATGGACAGAGAAGATAGCATTGCCATCATTTTTTTTAGATGAAACCAACAACTTTCAAGCTCCGTCTTCTTTTTATTTTACAACTATTCATTGTTCATTGAAAGTGAAAATTCCCCACAACTAGAAAATGCCTAGGTTCATTTGTATATTTTTTAACTAACTTTTGCAACAGTTGCATGAAACTTGCATTCTTAGCAAACAATGAGCAAAAAATACACAACTGTGGCTATAATCTATTTACTTTGGTACGGCACATCATTGCTGTATCTCTTAAACTTTGAACCTGGCATCATACATTGTTGATATGTTGTGGGATAAATATATAAGGTTCAAAGTCATGGTGGAAGTCTCTTTCTCAGACACAATGAATTATTATTTAAAAAATGCACTGCTGCTTTGGCATGTGCTCTTGTTCACATAAGTGAACAGTAAGGATGTAACTTCTTCTGAGACAGATAATCTATCCCAGGAAAAAAGGATATAATTAGCTGTTTGAAAAAGAAAATGTAAAATGTTTTATAGAGCGACGTTAATAAATAGTGCAGGATATTAGTCCAATGAATATTAATAATTATAAACTGTGGGTGATTAATGGAAAACATACTGTATAATGGATCGTTTGCAAACCTTAAATAAAAACCTACTAATTTATCATCTACATAATATTTTACTTGTTAGTGAAAAGTTGCAAAAATAATAACAAAAAAATCCTTCACCTCAAAAGACATGTCCATAGCGCTGTTTCCAATCTGATTGACGTTGGGCAAAGATCCTCCATAGTACTGCCCACGGTTCGGTCCCAGCTGCAAGTATTGAGTTTTCTGCAACTGCAACTAGAAACAGAACAACATCAGGTAAAACTAGAGGCAATTATATAAACATTACAAAAGGAAAAAAGCACGGCTGTTTACATTCAAGGCTAGTTCAGGGTCCATGGAAAGAAAACGACTAACTGGCTAACACAACAGCAAGATAGAGTCAATAATATCATTAATAATGGCAGCAAAATGAAAGAAAATACTGCAAAGTCGAAATGTTTACACTTTTATATTAATCCCACCTTAATCCCATGTGGGGACTTTTAATTGTGTAAACAGGCAGCAACAATGAGAGCACCAAGCGTATTGATGTTTTCTTTATTAACCACCTGCGTGAGATAAACGCTAGATGTCTTCTGGCAAAATACGAGGCAGGCTGCTCCATTTTCAGCAGTGTGATGGGAATTAAATTACTTTTAAATGTGCGAGCACGTCAGAAATGATTCAACATTGACCGAACATGGTTGAACATTTCAAAAGCATATTCCTGAGAACTTTACAACTGTGTTTATTTCAAAGCGACCTCCAGCTCTATTTCAGATTAGAGAAACCATAACCGGTCAATTAAATGTCCTCATGCAAGCCTACTGCTCACTGCTGGCAGGGCAGAAAATCTAATAATGGCAATTACTATGCCTGCATCGCTGGTGTTTTGTGATAAGCCTTCAACCTCAGAGTGCATCTCTGTATCCACATTCAGACCTACTCTGTTGACATAGGATTACTTATTGTAACATTTCAGGATGAGGAAGAGAGCAACCCTAATCTTTTCAACCCAGCAAGACACAGAGAGTAGAGAGATAGAGGGAGGCTGAAGGGGGGAGGGAGGGGACAGTGTTTTAAAAAGGAGGAAACTCTAAACCAGAGGCCCACTTCCCACAGGTCTAACTTTGGCTCAGACAACAGCTTCATACAATTTGTCCACGCATTCGAAGAAAATATCTACATAATAAACACTCAAGATGAGCTCTTTGAATAACATGTCTAGACATGTATACTGAAATAGACTTGTATAACAACATATAGGCCTGGGGAATACATAACAATACTATAACCGTATGTTGACATAGATATGAGATTGCTTTAGTGTTTTTTCCTGTTTTCAAAATGGCATTACAGGAAAGTTATGTTTTTTTAGGAATTAACCTGTGTAATGTTCTACCTCTATTATTATTTTTCTTTTAGCCACTTTTCCATTTCGTCCTCATTATTATTTTTTTCTCAAAAATATCATTGTGTTAATATTTAGTGAAAGCACCAATAGTCATCAATACAATATTGTTGCAATATCGATATGCTGGTATCTGACCAGAAATATTGCGATGTTTGATTTCCTCCATATTCTTCAACCCTACAACATTCTGACACAACTAAGTCATCAATTAGTATGTAGACAAATTAATAAAAATGGTGTGATTTTATAAATTGTGGTAATCTTTTATCACGAAAAAACACATCTGCCAAAGCTCCTTAACCAAGCCATTTTTACAGCAGATATTGTCATAGTAGGGAAAGCACAGGTGTTAATAATTACATTAAGGCCGGCATGTTCATCTCCAGCCTGAAAACAAATCAGCTAAATGGAATTCAGCCATCACTCATATTATTATGTACACCTGTGCCTTGCCTACTGTGACATGTTATGTCTCCTGTGGCAGAGAGGAAGGGTTGTGTTTCCGTTTTAGCCTGTTGGTCAGACTGAAATTGCAGTTTAAAGAGAGCGAAATCAATTGCTTGATATTAAAATAATACAGTAGCAGAAGCTCATTTTACTAGGATTACAAGAGGGATGTATTGAGAATATTTTTGGTCATTCTTCCTGTATATATTGCCAGCCAAAGCATTCAACAACCACTGCAGTAGCTGCATGTTTGCTGTTAAATGCTGTCTTCCCATCATTCTGTAGCACTCACTACTAAAGCCCTGCCTCCAAAGGATTTATTTTGGAGGCCTGTGCCGTATGTGGCTTACATTTCCACATAATCTGCTAGCCTTCATCTTTGGTGAAAATGTCTATCATCATATTGCAGAGCACAGGCCTGAAGACCTGTCAGACAAGTTTTCCCAGCCACGGTGCACACACACAGCTCATATCACACAGGCCTACATTACGAAAAATGTAAACATTACAGAATGTATATCTCTATTTTACAGCGTTTGGCTAATCTCCTCCTATCTGAAAGCACGAGACGAGGAGAAAATCATCTGCGGGTCGAGGCGCGCTGTCAAATACGCATGCACGCCCCTTTGCTTTCCTCTTGCGTGGGACAACAAATGTAATAACTTTTTCGGACGAGGGTCACTGTCACTCATATCTGCATTACCGGACTGTTACCCCCTGCCAGCTGTGGTGGTTGTCAGTCGTGGGATAAAAAGCCTACCGCTAGCAGGAAGCGTCGTTTGTTATTGTTTACCTATGCTGCCCTGGCTGCGTGCGGTTCCGCGATACAAATGCATATTTGACAGCTCGCTGAAAACAAACGAAGAAGAGGAGGGGGATAACAAGAAGAGGTGTCGTTACCCTCGCTGCCCGCGTAATGCTCAGGTCCTTCATCACTTCTTCAAACGCCGCTGTCTCCTCTGCCTGCTTCTGGTTATGCAAAGCGATTTTCTCGCTGAATTTCCGCGGATTGTTCGAAGTCGCCATGTTTCGCTCTTCTGCTCCGTTTTCCTTCAATGGTCAGTGTCAAGAGGCACGCAGTGAGGACACACGACTTCCGGTTAAAGGGGTTGAAATAAGAAAAACACACAAGAAAAAACACCGCAAAGTAAGTGCAGTTTAAAATTGTGTTTAGAGGTTTTTGATGTAATGTAACTAAGTTAATTGACTTAAGAAGGTTATTGAGTACGGAAGCCGAATTGAGGTAGGCAACTTGTAGACTAGTTTTCCTGAGTATTTCCATGTTATGCTATTTTGTAAACTTGGAATGCCATAATTAGAAATTATTATTATTAATTTCACGTTTCAGGACATCACATTTAGATTTTACATCAGTATCTACTAATCATATCATTAGTATAATTATGAATAGATCCTTTGGGGGGGCACAACGTGTTGGTACCTTTATCCACGATACTCACCAACAGTAAGCTATACGTTTGCTGGTTATGATCGTGTGAATAAAGCTTTTTGAAGGTAAAGGTAAATTAGCTCTACCTTAGCAAGTTGAAAAACGAATATGTTTGACACTTGAATGCATCAATTATCATAGGCTATTGCAGTACAACTATAAACCATTTTTAACATTCTGCATGATGAATTTTACTTTTACTTTTGGTTATTAAATTGTATTTTGTTGCACTTGTAGGCTTCTTCATAAGATAGACAGAGTTGGCAATTTCACAGTGTAGTATTGCTATTTTCGATCTGAGTAGTAGCCTATTTCTTCCACCACTGCCACCAGGGGACAGACAATGCTCACAGAATCCCAGATAAAAGAGCTAGTCACATAGTTAAAACTTACATGCTAGCAAACATTGACTTACTTTGCTTTAGCTCCCCAATTCCTCACAACTATATGTTCAACTTGGTAGTTGTGTATCCTAATATTCTTTACACTTAGCAAATGTAAAGTTTGTCCCAAGCAAATGCAGGTAATGATAACATATTAAAACATATAGGCCTACAATTGATCATATTGATTATGTTAATATCCAGTAAACTAGTGGCTAACATTTGTTTCCCACTGAGTAAAACCGAATTCCCTTTTTTTGCGTCAGCTTTTATTCTGAAGGCACATGTGTAGTTTCCGGTATTGGTCGTCTCTGCCCGACTTGACGCAGCTGCCTCGGCTTTGCGTGATCACGTCGCCGCGCGGGGGTGTATTGGGGGCGCCCCGCACATCTGGACTGCGGAGTAACTGCACATTTCACTTTTTTAACAAAACAAGAATTTGTAATCTAAAACAAGAGCCTCCACAGCAGAATATATACATTATATTATTATTATTATTATTATTATTATTATTATTATTATTATTATTATTATTATTATTATTATTATTATTGGTAGTAGTAATATATCAATGCAAGACATTTTTAGGTATCACTGCTTTTATTATAAAGCAGATCATAGATCATAGTTTGAATCAAATTATTTTTGTTATTTATATTTCTTTTTTATTTGTACTTTTATTCTTATTGTGTGACCTATCTGTGTTTCTTTCTCTTTCTGTTGCTGTTATGACATTTGAATTTCCCTATACAGGGATGAATAAAGGTCCATCTTCTTATCGTATCTTTCACCCAGTGTGACCAATTCTTACATCAGTTGATTCTTTTAACCTCTCTTTGGTAAAAATGGATGCTTTAAGTATAAAACTAAATTCAGCTTGTTTTTTCTTGCAGACAATAATTAACTTCCTTGTGGTTTGGCCTAAATGTTTGTGACTTTAAGTCTCAGGCCTGAAAATGGCAATGTCTGCCTCCTCTGGAGTTGCATGCACATCCCCGCTGACTGAAGATAAAAACTATCACAACAACGCTCCTCCTGCTTTCCAGATGAACAGATTCAAAAGGTGAACAAACTTATAGAGACTCACTCATGGACACCTTTGTGCTCTTAGATGAAGGAGAAAGAGGTGTTTATGTCACATTCTGTTAAGCCGTTCCCCCTAAAAATGATATAATAAACAATCAGGGGAAAAAGACCACTTACAAAGACTTTATTTGTTGTTGTTTTTACAGGCACTGAGGGCACAGTGGAGCTGTTTTACCAGCCATGGAGGAGAGTGTAATTTGGTTGTAAGGTAACCGTGGTAACAGAAAAAAGAGCGACTCCAGGGCAGGTGGAGAGAGGTGGAGAGAGGGGGGGGGGGGAGTCTTGAAGTTTAGTGGTGATGGCCTATAAAAATGAAATAAAACCCCTTTTATGCAGGAATCCCGTAACCAGTTGTCCTTCATCAAACGTTGTTAATGTTTTTCTTATTGCAACACACTGCTTAAACTGCAACATCTCTTTGGCTTGAGTAAGTAGGCAGCAGAAAGGGGAAACTCTCACTTCACTTTCTCAGATACACCTGAAAGTCTGAAAATGCCTCCCACTTTTTCTCTTTGCACACATCTTTTAGACCACTTTCGTTTGTGTACTGTATATGCGGTGAACAATAAACCTATATGGTATGGTAGAAATTCATGTCAGCACAACATTTCCAGTGTTAAAAGGTAACTGTTGAGGCTTTTGTCATGTGGATTTTTCTTTACTATGATCCCATAACAAACATATAATATTTGCATTTGTAAAGCTACTTTAATACTTTACAGTGGGCTAAGAAACTGTTTCAACAAGTTCAACACTGTCTCTCACCCCACCTTACACTCTTACATGTGTGACTTGTGTTAACATGCAGTGAGAAATCATTATAGTGTTGGTTCAAATTAACAATTCCCCGTTTAATTCATAGTTTATTCGCTTTTCTTTACATTCTGCAGAACATATATGGTGGGTATTTTATTTGTGTGTATGTGTGTATCATTAATTCATGTAGCAGTATTTACATGTAGATAAGAGATAACACCACTTAAACTTTGGATTAATTTAAGCTTGCTTTTATCTGTGTGTTTATAATTTATTGGGATAATAAACCTTAAACATAAACTCTAAAACCCTTTCTTCAAGAACCTATAATGCTTAAAATCATTTTGTGTTGTTTTAAAACTATTCCATTTCCCAACAATGACCTTTAGTCAAATGAGATGGGTGTTCATTTTATTAATACTATCTCATATTCAACAGCAAAGTTGTAATCTTGCTGCTCTAATCTAACTGAAGCTTTGCCAGATCTTCTGGCACTTTACTGGGTGAGTAATCAATTATCAAGATGAGACAATATTATGGCTTCTATCACCAGCAAGATGCAACTTTCACCAAGACATGGGGACCACCTTCTTGTAATAGGTATACTTCTTTACAATGTTTTGCACATATTTTGTACATGTGACTGCCCCAGGACAGCTGCTCATCAAGCGTAACCGTAGCGGTAGTTTAGTCTCACTAGCTTGCATATGAGGTTGCACTGAAATACATAACTTATTGATTGGATTTATCTAATTCTTTATCATTTATACACAGTTATATCACCAGGAATCATGTTAAACTGACATTTTATAAACGTATTAGTGGCATATCATTTATAGAGAAAAACAGTGGTCCTAATCATCTTTCCTGGGGGACACCATACAGTACGTTACTATCCTAAATTAAAAAACTCTACAAAATATCAATTTAGCCAACATTTCTTCTGTTCTTAATAATTTATTTGATCATCAACATATTCAAATCGGGCTAAACTATTAACTATTTGTATGTGTTCAGATCGGAAATGTGTCGATTGTGTCACAAAGTTTAATTTAACTGTAATTCAGCTCCTGTCAGCAGCCGTCTATTTTCAGAAATAGCTTTTACAGGAAATGTTCTGGTTTCAGTGCTTCTGGTCCATGATTTAAATAAAAGGGAACTTCAGCATTGCCAGTGTGAGGTGTTGAACACAAACTACTTGACTTCCCTCATAACTCAGACCTTGACCCACAACGATGGAGCCTTCTATGGTACGTTCACTCTTTGTATTGACCCATACTTTGGCAGAAAACTGTTTGACTTGGCTTCATGTACAAGGTTATCTAACAGCATTTCCTAGAGTTTATTTTGGTGTTATTGTTTTAAATTTATTTATGTTTTAAGACTTATTTAAAATAACTGTTATCAGTGAAGAAAACTGTTCTATTTTGCTTGTGAAGAAGCATTTTTTAACAATAATAAGCAATAATACACTAAACGCTTTTGTATAAATGATAAAGAAATGTCTGTTGTTGCTAATGACTATTGAGCAATGTCCTGCAGTCTCACTCTGTAATTTTTATACTTGCAGATCATGAATACCACGGAAATCCCTACTTTTGTCTCAAGCTCGACCGCAGGTCTGGCTGTCGGGCTGACTCTCTTCTTTCTACTGGTGGTGATCATAGCTGGTGTAATCGTTTACAAATACAATAAAGTGAGAGATATGTTGCATCTCGGGAAAAAAAGACGACAGAAAAAAGAAGACTTTGCAGAAACACCACAAGATGATTCCCATCAGTACACCAGCAGGATTCATCAGTCCACCAGCATGATTCATCAGTCTACCAGCATGATTCATCAGTCAACAGAACAGAACCCTATTTATGAAAACCTGACAACTCAAACTACTAGGAACAACAGGCCCGAAGTAGAACAGAACAAGTAAGCTGAACCTCAAGTATTTTCGTACTTTTAGTCAAATGTTCTTATCTGGCAGTACAAGTTTACACCTTTTTAGAGGAAATGCTATTATGAAATGACATTTGTGAAACTATGAAAAAAAAGACCTCTCATCGGAAATAGATGAAGAAACAGCCATGAGCGTGGTTTGAATTTCCCCATTTTGCACAATCATTTTGTAATATAAGCACGAATTTTGGCTGGCATCTGGAAATGATCTCCTCTTTTGTTTCCTATGACTTGAAATGTATTAATCAAACGTGCCAACTGATGATTCATTGTGGGAGTTTTTTCTCAGGGCAAGAATAGAAATAGGGAAAAAGGAAATCCACACAAATATTTGCCTTGTGTCACAATGGAAAAGTGCTTTCTAATTAAAACTACATTCTCATCACTTTTATTGTTTCCCTGTAGGTTTCCCAGTGAACCTGAAGAGGATGTGTACCTGCAGTGTGATTCACCAGATGATGATGCAATATACGGCAATGATCCATCGTGTAACCTCTCCATCCTGCCAGACAGCCGAGACGAAGACGTGTATATTATGCCAGATTCATTATAGGATTAATCTCCATTCATTGCTTGTGTGATCAATGCACATTATCACAAGGCAAAAATGTGCTGCTGCTTTTTGATACAGCTAAAACAAATAATGTAGTGTCTGTAATCTTTGGATATTATGCAGTGCATTATTTTACATTTTATAGTTATAATCTATAGACTGTAAAGTAAGGAATGGAATCTTATATTAAATCTGTTGTACATATTATGTTACAGCTAATGTTTTTGGCACAGTTCATTTAGGATCACTCTGTACTGAAAGAACACATATTGACTTAAAGGTAGGGTAGGTAAGAAACCAGCTCGAGTGCGCTAGAATTTGAAACTACGCAGCCGAAAAAAATCTGCCCCTTCCTTCAGACTTCCTTACAAAGCCCCTCCTCCAACGCACATGAACGCGCACATGACCAATGAGGGCACGAGATACGTTTGTGCACGAGATGGAAGGCTGACAGGCAGGTAGGCCATCCAGTTATTTTAGCCGGGTCAGCTAAAATAATTGGTCGTGCTTTTTAAAGCGCCACGGCTTCCATAGATGACATTTTTTTATGTATTTATTGTCAAAGCATTTAATGTATTCATTGCTATCGGGATGTTAAGAGCATTCATGGAATATAACAAAACGTGCTTCTGAAGTGAATTACCTACCCCACCTTTAAGTTACCCCAATTTCCTGATAAGATTTTATAGTTTTATGGCTTTCTCCCGATAGGCCCGGAATTGCCGATGAATCACTTTCCAGTTTGACCTTTAGAGAGAAGAAGTGTCTGCCCTTTCTTCACACTTGTATCACTTCATGTATTCTGCTGTCCTTTTTTGTATCAGTTGTATAGTTCACAAATACAAATAATTTTTTTATTACATTTTTTAAAGATTTAAAAACTGAGAAATGTTATTGTAATGTTCCACATGTGCCTAGATTGATATGTGCAAATATATGAAATTGTATTCATTGTGATTTATAGAATAGAATCTGCTTTCGTGGTAACCAAACGTTTGCTATTTTGAATATTTATCAGCCTTAAAGTCTTCGGAGGAGGCCAATGTTCGTTTAATTCATTATTTTTGTATTTTTAAACATATTTGACTCAACTAAAAACATTGTTTCTTTTCATTGACTATTTGGTATTATTTCATTATCCTTGCAATTGCTTTTTATGTGAGCTTATCTTACCTTTTACAGTCTTTAGCTAATCACCACCTGTTCTGTGTCTTAACAGTAAAAAATAACAAAAAAACGTATGAAGTATGTGGACAATTGCAAAACATGATGCCTGCACAGAAAGATAACAAGTAGACCATTAAGACTTGCAAAACACTTAAATGTCAGCACTATTTGTTATGTTTTGTGGTCCATCTGTTTTCAGCAGAGACACATAGGGAGGATGTGAAAACTTTTCAAAAGCGAAATCAAGATTTTTTCAGTCTTATTCCTAAAAATATCTTACAGGCAAGAGACAAAAAATATAACATTTTGTTCAAATGGTACCATGTGATAAGTGTGACTTGTGCAGACAGATCACATCAAGCTATGGATTTTTTAGATTTCGTATTTTTTATTTCTTTTCATCTTGTGATTCATTTCAGTGGTGGTTTTCCAGTAAGGCTACGTGAGGATTAAAACCAGGAGAAAGCCAAGTAGAGGCTAATGAGTCCACACTGCCTACCTTAGATTACACACAGAAGGTCCTTGATAAATACTGTCTGTAATTCTTTTATACTTGTATACTTTGGGTGTTACTGTAACTCAGGACCTTTCAGAATCTAAGATTGAAGACCTTTACATCCACCCCGCAGTTGTGCAATAACTGAGGATGTCATCCCTGAAACAAAGAGTAGCAGGGCAAAAAACAAAAGAAGTGAGTGAGTGGTTTGTTGGCACAGGTCAAATTTTACCATACAAAAAGTGTAATTACAGTCAACATTTGACTGATTAATCATGTATATATCCGTCTGCCTATTTATTCAGTCATCCAGGGTCACTCAATACGCCCCACTCTTTAATACATCTACTTTATTAATTGTAAAACAACACATGCTCAGATTGAAGTGACCTTTACCCATACAAAGATAAAAACATTAATAACTCATTAGGGTTGGTGGTGTCACTACTTTGAGTCATTAAACTGTAAATATTGCTTGCTACCGATTTCAGTTCACTTTAGTTCGCTCACTTAAAGGTACGGTAGGTAAGTTTGAGAAACCGGCTCGAGATCGCTAGAATTTGAAAATACACAACCGGAGAAAATCTGCCACTTCCTTACAGAGCCCCTCCTCCAACACACACGAACGCGCACATGACCAATGAGGGCACGAGATAAGTTTGTGCACAGATGGAAGGCTGACAGGCAGGTAGGCCATCCAGTTATTTTAGCCGGGCCGGCTAAAATGATTGGTCGTGCTTTTTACAGTACTACGGCTTCCACAGATGACATTTTTTTATGGATTTTTTGTCAAAGCACTTAAGATATTCATTGCTATCGGGATGTTAAGAGCATTCCATGGAATACAACAAAAAGTGTATCTCGAGCCGGTTTCTCAAACTTACCTACCCCACCTTTAATATAACACTTCTTTATAGGGCTCTGTATTACTAAGACCTGCATTTTGGAAAGTTTTGACTTCCTCTTATGAGGTCTTTTACAAACGTGAATAACGTTTTTTGTGTCTTGGCGATCAAACTTATCGTATTCTATCTCACATAAGCTTTTTTGTTCCTTTTCTAATAACTTATCCCAGCATCATTTGAAAGTAAATATTCCAACAAGAAGCTTTGGTAATCTGTAATTGAAAACGCATTTACCGTATCGTCATTGATATGTAATCTGAGCAGTTTACACAGCAAGCAGCTTTTCTTTTTTCCCTTTCATATGAAAGTAATGATTATGTTTTATATCTTGACTGGCTGGTCAAGGCCACAGTAAGCACAACTTCAAGGACATAAGTGAGATATAAGTTACCATATCTTTACACACTGATTTCTCTGGCACACGGTGGCCTGCCTTATCTACAGCAGTTGATAGTATTTCTTATGGATAAATGACACATATTAGAACATATCATGCTCCTGTGTTTATTATGAAATGTATGTTGATATATTCAAATGCAACACATCAGTGGGAATAAATCAGAGCATTTATTAAAATCTTCATATAATTATTGAAATGCACAAGACAACAAAGAATCCACAACCATGTGCCTCATCAAACAATACAGTACTTCAAATGATAAGTGACAATACAATTAAATAGTACAAAATATACGCTGTAACAAAAACAAAGGCAATCATAAAACACATATACATTTAGGATCATAAATATAAGTTAAAATAAATAAAACTATGACTACTGCAGCAGTAACACATTTTTCTTCTAAATAAAGTATAATGAAAAAATAGCTATTTTAATTTAGCTAACCATAGAAAAACACTCATTATCTCAGCATGTAACATTTTTTTATGGCAACACTCTCCCAAAAGTCGAAATAACAAAGGTACATTTCCTTAAGCGCAGTGGCATTGAGTGACAATCAGGTCATTGAAAGGAGTCAGCTTTAGCTTTCCCCTACTGTCATAGTGCATGAGGACCATGGGCTCGTAGGCCGCCGGCACGCAGCAGGGGAGAGGAGACCCTCCCTTGGTGAACTGATGCAGCCGAGACTTCACCTGTGTGTGCATGCTGGCAGGCTTGTAGTTGTGGGGGCAGGAGCCATCGCAGAAATGCATGATATACTCAGTGGGGGCCACCACCCAGTCCGCCCAGCCGATGTCTTTGAAGGACACGGTGACAGACTTCCTGCAGCACCACCCTTGTTCATCGCAGACGTCCTCCCTGTTGCTGGAGCGAGGCAGCCTCGTCTTCCTGGGCCCTGTGAGGCCTAGTTCCAGGGAAATGGTTGGATTTACCTTGAGGGCATCTTGTTCGGCCACAGCTATCCCCACATCCACAACCAGGGCCTCTCCACCATCCGTGCTCATCCACCTCTCCACCTCAGGGCTGATGTCCAGCAGCACATCTTGAGTGTTTGACACATTGGGTGAGTTTATGTGAGTCCATGCAGCAGAGTTTATCGACCGCATCCGGTTGATTTTAACTTTAATAACTCGTTTTGCCTCAGGCTGAACTGAAGTTGGTTTGTCTAAAATCTTCCTGGAAATCTTCAGCTCAGCCCGTGCTAGTGTCACTTCAGTCTGGATGTTGGGATTCTTGTGGAAAACGGCTCTGTACCACTGCATGCGTTGACCTGAATGTGGATAAAAGTGTTCTCCTCTCCGAATCCCTTTTCTTGGCTCCACTAAAAAAAATCAAAAATAAAGAACATTTCATTAGAACCAAGGTTTCAATAGTCCTGCAATGAGTTAAAAAGTACCTTTTAGAAACATCATCCCAAAGAAGACATACATATGTATTTTCAAATCATCCAGTATTATTTTGAATTCCAATGCTCACTTGTCCTTGTTTGGCTCATCTCTAATGTGATAAAAACACGTGTTCAATTGTGACATTGTGTACTGTACCAGGTGTGTCTGTCATGCTCATGATTTCTAAAAGCTAGAAAGAATTTGTTTGCTTTGTTCAAAGGATGATTTGATTCTATTTACAACCATATGTTTAAACCATGCTGTGATACGTTCCACTAAGTCAGAGATCATAACTTGGACCATGAACTATATGGACAAAAGAAGTTAGGTAAAACCAATCTGCAAGATTTCATGCAACCTTCATTCCTTCTCCCACTCAAACATTCCAATTTGGCTTTTCACACAAGTAATTTAAGCATGACAATGACCAAATTAGACCTAAGTATGTTCCTGATGTCTCCCTGTCGAACAAACACCTCACCTGTAGCTGGAAACAGCACAGTAGACATGGTGGATTGCTGGTTTCCTATCATCGGCTGGCTGGAATTCCCTCTCATCTCTCTTATTTGTTCCCTGTAGATCTGATACATCTTCCTCAGCTCTTCCTCCGAGGCCTTTTGAGTTGGTCTTGGCTCCCTCTCCATACCCAAAGAGCCGAGGATCCCCGACTTCACCGCCTCCAGAAGCAGGACCCTCTTGCTGTCCACTCTCCCCACATCAGGTGACCCTTCCTGGGCTGTTTGAGGGCGGCTCTCCCCCGAGCTGGAGAGGAAGACGAGGAGCAGCAGCGTGCAGGAGAAGAGTCGGTAGAGTGTACGTGATCTGAGCATGGTGAGCCTGCCAGGTAGGTCTGGTTTGAAAGTGATGCAGCTCAGCAGATGGGGTTTGTCCATGTTATGAATGAAATTCCTCACATGCTTTTATTTATAGAGCTTCTGCGTTGCCACACCCCTGGTTAGTCAGGTGAGCATGTGATGGGCTCAGCCACGGCCGTATGTCATTATGTTGCAACATTTTGCAGCATTGTGTTTGCGTTAACAACATGTGACCGATGAAATTAGAAACCAGTGAAGTTAATTAACCTTTTTTTTCAGTTTTATTAACACATCAATTAGGAAATAAAACAGATTAGAGATAGGCGAGACGTTAAATAAAGAGATTTCCAAATGAGGTTTGGTTACAGCACAAGAACATGGTGTGCACCTCAGCGTGCTACGTCATCGTTGTCCAGTAATGCGTCACTAAAGCAAATAAATGACCATATGTCTTACAGTTAACAGTTCTAAAGAGGGGGACAATGGCCAATTACATAAGCTGCACCAGGGTAAATAATGTTAATCTGATAGTTTATTGATCCCTATTAGACTCTTTCTTTCTGTTCCCCTGCAACTCTGCCAAGTATGGTCAGAGGTCAGGAGCAGGTACCGACCAGAGAGGCTTCTAGAGTCATGTCCCTTTGACTGGACGCTAAAACCTGTGAAGGCCTTTTAAAAACTGCAAGTCACTATGAAAACAGTCCAACCTTGCTATAATATTCTTTTTGTGACAACAATGACAGAAAAAGGTGGAGACTTTACTATCTGTTTGTAACCCCTCCCTCTTTATACAAGGCCACAGAGGAAATCCCTCAAGGTTAAAACTAAAAAATAGTACACAAACAAAGAAGTTCTCTGTTGAAGGAACTGTCTCAAGGTCAATTATCTAAGTCTTCTATAACTATAATGTGATGTAAGGAGCTCTTCAATAATCAACCAGAGCGGCCTGTGAAAGTGTTTTATTTTCATGATGATTAAAATAGACTGAAACTGTATCTGATCTCATCTCTACTGTCGCCTCAAGTTTGATAAAAGAGCTTCATACCATTGTTGGGATAGACTAGAGCTAAAAATAGACTATTACTGCGTCTGCCCCGTGGACTGTCGTCAAACACTTATCAGCTTTAAAAAAAAAACTCACTTCTTTCTATCAGTAAATGGGGTCAGTGCACTGTTTAATTACAAAGGAGTGGCCAGCTGTGCCATTGATTCCACCTGAGGGCATTCCCGACCGCAGCACCGATTACTGACTGATAAAGATTTTATGGGAAATGTTCATAAAAGTGTATTACGGCCATTTTTGCTAAATGATGAGCTTGTAGTTATGACTATAGTAAAACTGTAAAGTCATTAGATGACCAATACAAAGTCAGATTAACCTATATTATGTGTAATATAATAATATAAAACAATAAAAATGATTTCCACCCATCTATAAACTACCACTTAAATGTTATAATTAGAAGCTCATGCAATACAATATGTAGGGAGGGTTTCAAGATAGAAGTGTTTGCATAACGACTAACCAAAACAAAGAAAGGGGTTGTGAGTTTCATTTTTTATTTTGTTATTTGCTCTTTAGTTTCTTTTCTCTTGTTACATGTGAAATGCTCGAGACTTCCTCTTTATTAGGATTAACAATTAAATAATACTAACTGAGAAAGGCGAGCATCCCTCTCTGGTGAAACCTCTCACAGCTTACAGACATATGTAACCTGTGATAAAAAGGTTTAATGGATGCCTACACAACGTATTTTCCCCTTTTGGGATTTAATAAAGTATGACTACAAAGGGTCATAAGCCAAAAAGGTTGTCTACAAGTATTGTCCCACTTACAACATCAATAATATAATACTAAATGAAATGCCAGGACAATATTTGAGCATGAGAAGAAGTTACAAAAGAAGATACTGCTTGAATTTCTGAGGAGTGAGTCACTGAGGTGATGAAACAATCATTTGCCTGGTGCGTCTATACCTCACAAGTAGAAAGTGTGTGAAAGGTGTAAAGTGACTCATGCAAACTGGCACTATTGGTGAAACTGTCGTGTAGGACTCTCACTCTTTTCTTCTTTATATTTTCTTTATCCTTTTATCTCTTTGTTGCGTCGGAGGATAGAGAGGGGGGAAAAATGTGTTTTGTCATCATGAGAAAGAGAAGTTTCGGAGTATAGCGGCTGAATTTCATCATGCTCAGTGGTAACAGAAAGAGATACAGGCTTTTATAAACATATAGTCAATGACACCACATTGCTCTATTCATGAGGCTCAGTGCAGGGGGTTTCCAACATGGGGACCCGGCCCATTTCAAGCCATTGTAAGATGAATATAAGGTCAAGGTTATTTAACTTTTCAGGGCATCTAAAAATGATTCAAATTAAACAAGTTAAAATACATTTTGTATTGAACTGCCCACAACTAAAACATATAATTTGTTTCTGGCTTTGCCCATCCATACGTATTGGGTAGAGATGTTCAAAACTATTTTGGAGCTAATTGGGGCCCCAGTGGCACTCTTACTGCATTGTTTGGGTTCCCCCTCTCTTCACCTTCCCTCCCTACGTCCAAGAGAGACGTGATAGCTAGCCCTACTGGCTAGAAGGTTGATATTGACGAAATGGAAAGATACTGCTCCTCCATCTCATACTCACTGGATAAGAGACATCCTTTTTTTCCTGAAGATGGAAAGGATTAGGTTTGAGTGGCTCCTCAAATAGATTTGGGAAAATATGGAGCCCTTTTTCAAATTTGTTAAGAGGATAAAGTTCCCAATTATTCCTGATTAAACTTTTGCATTTTGGAGGGGTCCCAGCACTGGGCGGGTTGTCGCGGGGAGGTGCTGCCGTACTGATGTTTATTGTTTATTATTGAAATGTTTGTTTTAGCTGACTTTTCTATTTATTTATTTGTTTATTTTTTGTTTGTCTGTGTTTGTATGTCTGTTTGTCTTCTGTCTGTGTGGGATTTTGTTTGCCCTGGTGTTAAGCAGTATTTGCATTGTTACTCTACCTATTTTTCTATAAAATGAAGATTTGTTTACTTTTGATACATGCTCTGATAGAATAACTGTATGCTGTTGAAAAAAACCCAATAAACAAAGTAAAAAAAATAAAAAATACATAATTTCTGACAAGGGGTCACAAATAACAATAAGAAATAACAAATATGTTTCATCCATGCTCACAGTTGAAAGTAAGCAAAATGCACATTTGTAATACAAATTAAAAAATGTAAATAAAGGCATACATTTACATGTTTACACACATTCACCCTTACATTTATACATATATATCTCAAGAATACAACTCTGCATGCAGAAAAAGGCATGAACTAAATTAATGGATCACTCATTAAGGGTTCACTCTCTCAATTTTATAATACAATCATTTTGACCCTTTTTTTTTTTACAAATCTACATGAATGTAGTGGTGGGAGATGGTAGAAAGAGAGCATGGTTGTCATTCAAGTCTGCTTCATTCATCCATTCTTTCATTTATTCTTCAATTCATTTACTTTTATTTATATTTGCCAGTTTCTCTTCACTTTACCTTGAAACATGCTGCATCCGCAGTGACAAGGGACTGAACTATTCCCAGCATGCACTTGCTAGAGTAGAGCAAGTCAATAAACATTATTATACGAATAGCTCAATTGCACCCTCTAGTGCACCTAAAGCTACAGTGCAGACTTCAATTAGCTGAGTGCAGCTTTATTTGGAGTCAGAAAGAGCATCTAACATTAATATGAATCTTATATGGATTTGAGATGAAGATGTCTCAATGCTGCATCTGAGTAGAAATGTGTTCTTTGCAGGAACTTAATGCCACAATGTATTTGTGAGTGGTGATTAGAGAGAGAATAAGCCAATATTTGAAAAGGCATTGCACATATCCTAGGTGTATTTGATGCTTATTGTTGGTTGTTAGGTTCCGATCTTGTTCAAGCCTGTCTGGTAGAAATGTCAACTAAGATATAGCTACCGTGCCAGACGTTCATCGATCATAAACAGCTTTTAAGATAAGCACTAGAAACCTTGATTCTTTATTTGTATATGATATAGTTTCAGAAATTTCCCAAACTGGGATCAATAAAGTACATCTTGTATTTTTAAATGATAAAAAACCATGTCCTGAGTGGCTAAAAGCTATTGTTTCTACCTCTCAGCCCCGCAGTGCAGGTAAGTGAGGGTCAGATCAGAAATAGCACAATTTACCTTAAAAAGAGGGCAGTGAAAGAGGTTGTGCTGACTTTGATGCTTGAATAGTTTCACTAATGACCATGGAGTTTTTGAGCATGAGCTATGCTGGATCACATGGAGAGCATGACAAAAAGACACATAGAGACTTCATGAAAGGCTATGCATAATAATGTTGATCTGCAACAATAAATTCATTGTGAATTTAGAAACATTAGATATAATGCAGGAGTCTATATTTTGTGTACATGTCTTTTACTTGTATTTTTTCATATCAAAACTTGGATAGCGTTTCCCAACACATGCTTCACATAATGTCAATACATTATACTTTTCTTTATTAATAAGACTTATCGTTCAAACGCACATTTTAAACAAGCAAAACAACTAATCCGAATTAATTAGCTATTCAGCTTGAATTATTCAAAACACATTAAGCATTTTTAAAACCTTCTGGAATTGAATTGTTAGGGGCGCTTTTTTCTTATATCAAATGAAATATTTGTGTTAAATTGTTTTGTTGATACTACAGTGAAGTGATCCACAACTCCTGATCAGAAAAAAGTAATGAAACGGGATAAAATAATGGGAAAATGGGAAATAAAGCTTGATTATTTGTCGTTATTAAAGCAGTATTAAACCATAATTTTCTGCTTGGACTCCACAAAATACATTTAAATTGATTTTATATGAGGAAATCACTTGACACTAATCTTAAACACCCACTACAAAGGCTATCTAAATGTATTTCAAGATACACTCACTCTGTAGGCTGGATATCCAACACTTTAAGCTGTAAACAGTGAACTGCTCCAGAGAACAATGAGGGATTCACATCCCTCTGGCTCACACAAATGGACATGTGACGTCCCAGGACAAGAAACCAACCATTGTAGTTTTTGAGGGAAAAAACCCATCATGGTACCACTGTGTGACAGATCAATCACTGCTATTCATCTTGACTTCAAGGCAAAATTGTTCTGCATCCTCTTTTTCCACTAGACAAGCACTGGTTTAGTTTACATGATGAGTGAATAGTACATTAACTGCATGTACCACAACATATGGACACAAGTGGATTGCATATGTTACTGGAGGGTTTAGTGCATTCATGTATAAACAGTTCCAGGTTATTGCGTATGTGATAACATCATGGTGAATATAAATGCTTGTTTTAAGTCCTATAGGTTATAAAGGACTTTTAAAAAAAACAGAGGAAATGGCAACATATTTTGTGTACTTGTGTATCTGATGATATATTTCTTTTTTAATTCTCACTTATTTCATGGTTTTTGAGATGTGTGTTTTTTGTATTTACTTATTTATCTTTCTGTACAGCACTTTGGTCTGGAGGTTTTAAAGTGCTTCACAGATAAAGCTGTATTGTATTGTAAATCAATTTTGCATGGCAAGTGATAACAGAATATCAATAAGTGGGTGGGGTCAACACTCCTTCTCACTTCATTAATAGGTTGAGGTTCACTAACCACAACAACAGCCACTACTCTTCCTTCCTCCCCTCACTATCAGGTGATCAGCCCCAGAGGTGGCCACCTTTTTAGGGGCCGGTCGTGTATCTCGCCCCGAGTTGGAGGAGGAGGGGTTGGTTGGTGGAGAAGCAGCAAGCATCGGCAGCAAGGAGGACTGCACGGTCCTGGGGAGAGGAAGGGGGGCGCAGTATGGGTTGACTGATCGGAGATCCTCTTTGGGTTTTTATTGTCTTCAATGATGGATGAGCCGAATATCCTGAGACGCCGCGGTCTACAGGTAAATGGAGACTTCATGACAGCTCGGGTGGCTGTTTCCACGCAAACTAGATGCTAGGAAATGTTGATCATTGGCGAGGATCGGTTTCTCCAAGAACCGCGTTTCTATATGTTGTCATTATTCTTCTGGCTTTAAACATGTTATTATCTGTAGAGCTCAATTCTCTGGTGTCCATTCATTAAAACAGCCTGTGGCACCGTTGTGAATTGTAGCACAGAATTGCTGCACATAAATGACAGTCGGTCTTATGTGTTTATTTTGGAGCTGTCCATTGGTACTATAGTGTAGCTGGTTGCCTTGGTGACAGGAGCTTAAAACCCCAAGGGTGCCCGGATGATTGGCAGTACATCCCTTTAATCTTCTCCTGGATGCCTGGTTTATTACTCACAAATGTACAGAATGAGAATAATGAATGCTTTTTTTTAGTTCATTCATGTGTATATTTTCTGCATACATGTGGGAGCTGCATTGTTTTCTTCCCCCTGGTCTTTTATGAAAAGCTCACAGGTCCACACTGGGTGTTTCCATCCACTTATTATAATTGGTTTCTTTTCTTCCTTGCAATAATCTGCAATTTAAATGTAAGTGCAGGCCTGCCATTACAAATAATGCTAATGGTGGTTGTGGGGAAGTTATTGTTCCCTAAATTAGTATGTTGTGTGAAATACACACAACAACAACAACATATTAAAATAAAGAAAATGAAACTTGGACATCAGTGATAAAGCTCAAAGTACAGTTTACAGACCAGATGTTTTGGTGTGTTACGATACCAGCATTGTTTGTAATTGTGACTGAGACAATAACAAGTCACTTTCTGAGACTTCTGAGATCTTTTGGAAAAATGTAGAGGATGAAATCAGTGACAGTAGCCTCCGAATATTTTTTTTCAACTGTTCCCTGTCCTTCAATCCTGATTGGCATGGGTAGTTTTGCAGTTGCCTGAGCTCAAACTGCCATGGGCTCGGGAGGATTTGTATCCTGGTCATTAAATGACTCGACGACCCACTTGTCATGCAAGAAACTAGGGCAATCTGCAGATAATGTGATTACTGCGTTTAAAGGAATATGCGTGGGATTTATAGAAAAGGGTAAGCATTTTATGAATGCATTTTGTGCCTGTTAAGGTGTCAAAATATCATGCATTCCTCAGTGTTTATTATGAGGAGTAAGCTTTTCATACCAGCAGAATTTATTTAAATATAACTATCCCTAGATGAGGAAAATATATTGCTAAGAAGTCCCTTTGCCAAACACTGAAAACCCCATAGCTGATATCTGCATGTCAAAGCAATGTTTCCAGCATTTTTGTGTTCTCATTTCAACACTTCCCATGTCTTCTTTTCTAGAAAGAACTGAGTCTTCCTCGCAGGGGAAATGTGTAAGTATTACCAATATGCTCTCTTTGTCTCCGTCTTCTTTTGCACCCCCCTTTTCTCCTCAAACCAGCCCAGCCAGGTGCCTATCATTTATCAGCTTCATTGTGCTTGCACTTGACTCTCTGCTGAGAGACAAGAACTTCTGAATCTGTTAATGAGGATTGCCTGAAAGGTATGCAGTCTCACCGCTCGGACAGGTTTTACGTAAACTAAAGAGGGAGAGCAGAGATAGAGATGAAGCACGAGAGTCTCTGATGCGATAGCAGTGGGAGAATTACTGTATGCTTCGAATATTATTGCTAAATAGTCATGCTTATTGGAATATACATTGTATATATGAATCAGTTTTCACATTTTGCTACAGTGCAGTCAATAATTAGCTGTCTATGTGATTATATATTGAAATATGTGAACCTAACAGACAAGCTGAGCCAGCTCTAACATGTTAATCAATGTTTGTTGTTTCTAAAGGTTTTTCCTGAGGTACATACTTGGTGATTATTTGGACATTTACACTAATAGTTCTTATTAAGCTGTATCAACAGAGGAGGGACACTTATGAGCAGCATGAAGGAACCTGCTTCCGTGTTTCCAGCTACAATAGGAGGCGCCTCAGTCAGATCAACATCAATCTCTTCCCTGTCTCTAACCTGTTCAGGGACTTCCCCTGGTCTTAAGTGAAGAGATTACCTCAGGCTAGTTTCCCTGTCTGTGAGTCACTCACAGCACATACAGCAGATCACATCAATGTATTTGGAAAGAGTTAAAGATGTTTGTGCCCCTTGCAAACTGCTTTTCCTTTGTCAGTCATGTTTCCTTTTAGGTGGAGTTTTAGGTCGGACAGTATTTCTGTGTTGCACCCTGTATGACTACGATTTTAAAACAGCTCACTTTATTGCAACACTATATGTTATTGATAAAGGTGCATCGTTTATTTCAGCCGAGACTCGATGTGTGTCTGTGGGAAATGGAATTGATCTCATCATTGGCTAAAATGGTGTATTTTTAACTGGATTAAACTTGCTTGGGGGCTTAATGATCTGTGGGCCCCTTTTGACAATCCTTTGAATTCATTTAATGTAAGAAATTATTATGCAGCATGTGTGCTTGAGTCAAAATATGCATTTCCAAGCATATTTGTTTGGAAATAGTAATTCCCAAACAAATATGCAAATAATCGAATGACTTGAAGCTGTAAATGAGTATACAAATAGCATAGCCCTGATTTTAAAACGGTGCCCTTCAGTGTTGGACAGGGTGTGGAAAAGAGGCTATGGCCGATCACGAACCTCAGATCCAGGACGAGCTGTTAGTTTTCTCTCTTGGTTGTATAAAGGTAGACCAGCGCTCTAACCCTTACAGTGTTATTAAAGGGGTCATGGCAGTTTACCCACACATGTTTTGGTGACATAGGTTGAATTAGACAATTGTGGTAGCTGGGGTTTGTTCTGTGGGGGGGGTATTGCAAAAGTTTAGGGTACCAGATGTGTCTCAGAAGGATGTGAATAGCTTCAATGCTTGTTGGCTGTGAATAGCTTCAATGCTTGTTGGCCTCCACCAGTGTTGTTGCTTGTCACCAATCCTGTTTTAATTTAATGGTTCTCAAGGTGCAGCAAGAGGGAGGAGAGGGTCCGGTTTTGGGACTTTGGAAATGGTTCTTTGCTTTTTGCAGATGATGGTGGCCTGACCTTGAGTGGAGCTGATGCCTCCTTGCATCACAAGTAGCCAGTTGAGGAGGTCAGGGCATCTGATAAGTACATTTACTGGTGCATTCCTTTGGAGGTTTTCCAGGCACATCCAACTGGTTGGAGACACAGAAGCTGGAGAGATTATATATCTCATCTGGCTTGGGAACGCCTCAGGGTCCCACAGGAGGAGCTGGAAAACATTGCTAGTGGGAGGGCTGTCTGGACCACCTTGATTAGCCTGCTGCCACTGTGCCTTGAGAAGATGATTTTAGTTTTTTTCACGAAGAAAAGGCTTGGTTTTCACATTATAAGAAAACATTTCTGTATTATTAGCAACATATGCAATGCAGCAGAGCCCTTCCATTAAATCTTATGAGGATCTCATTATTCCCTGACGACAAAAAAAATGCAGCATTCATGTCTGCTCGTCTCCCTGAACATTGTAGGCTAGATGGAACTGGTTGTGCGCGATTTAGATATTTGTTCAACTTTATTAAAATGATGGTATACAAGCCGGTGTCTCGATGCCGATATCAAAGGAAATACTAAGTTGCTCACCCTTCTTTCTGTTTTTCGCTGGGTGGGTCATATGTCTTCTAGACGTCAACAGCAGATTTCCGACATTGCTTGAAGGCATCATTAGTCCCTCCTCTCTTCGCTGAGCTGGTGCGGCTGCGCGGTGCGGCGTTGCTGGTGCTGCTGGAAACTTTGTATCACTCTTTACATCTTGACGAAGATATCACTCGATAATGTCACATCCCACGGAAGACAAGCTGTTTCCAACCATAAGCTGGTGACAGGGGGAAGGGGACATGGCTGGTTTCGTCGCTCCTCATCACCGAGCCGCCGTACCCGGGGTCCGGGGTCAGTTTGTACCGAAGCTAGCCGGAGTTCCTACCGCTGGACACTGCGTACTAGCCTAACCAGCCCACCACCTATAATAACAACTCCTCAATAAGACAGTCTAGCATGATGCTCACACTCTAACAAGAGGACAATTCTCATATCTGGATTGGATTTATCAGTCACCATGTCTGACCAAAACTACTATTGGACCGTGTTGCCGAGCTACAAAACTAGTTTTGTGACTGGGGCCATGATGAAAAGATCAAAAAGGTAAAGAAATTATGTGTTGATTCTAAATATGTATCGATACAAAGCAAAGGCGTCTGCCCTGCCTTGAGTTGTCATTAGCTCCCTGCTGAGCGGTGCCATCCTCTGTCTGGCAAACAGCAATGTGTTGAACGTTTATGGTGAGCTATTTGATTCACAGCACGTAAACGCAACCCCCACACTGTATGGAAACATTACCAGCGAGCAGCTCACATTGAAAATACCTCTGTGGTGTGTGTGATATCCCACAGTACGGTACTGTATGTGTCGGCTACATCCGCCCTAGTTTTTGTTTCCGACAGAAACGTGGCCATTGTAGAGTGTTGTGTATGGAGGCAGACTGCATTGTCTGCCACCAGCTGTCGCATAAAGCGACACATTCCAAGTGCGGATCGATACACTGATGTGGGGCTCTAGTGATGTAGTTGTGCCTTATCTGTGATATCATGTAAGCAGCCCTCAAAAAGTAGAGCAGTAAAATGTGCCTGTCATGCCCTCTAATGACTAAGGGTGTTTTGGGCTTTCAGTGAATTCTTAGGGACCAAATAATAATTTATGGATTTCCCCCCATTGTAGTATATTTCACTAGTAAATCTGTTTAATTCTAGCTCAGTATGTCTTAGCTGCTGTCAATACAATACCCTGCAATCCCATTGATAATGAGTTTTGGGAGAAACCTCTCATCTTTAAATATATGTTATTCATTATGCTAATGTCTCAGTGGCGTGTCAAACCATCCACTTTTTTCCATAAAGCTTGGGAACATGCATCAGCCATGTAACCCATTAAACACAGCGTGACATTCAGTCAGCTCTGTGAATAAATGCAGCCCTTCACCATCAGCAGACATGGGAAACATACAAGCCTGCATCTCAGTCAGTGGCCTACATTCATCATGCTACATGGCTGCCTTCACTGGCCCTACAAACCAGTATTGTTAGTCCTACATTTGAGTAGCCCAATCACTGCGAAGTGTTGATGAAGCTCTCTCGTGCTCACGGTAATACAGTGATGCTTTCATGCCTATTTTGATCTAGTCTCTGTAGTGCGAAAAAGGTGTCTGTTTATTTACTTTCTGATAAGAAGAAAATGGTGCACACTCACAGTGTCGTCCTCTGGTTGGTTGGTGCGTTGTTGAAGCCAAACTCAAGCATTTATTGGCTCTCCCCTTCCTCTGTTGCTGTGCCGAGGCTGCCACTTTGACTCTTTTTTGGGTTGGGGGCCATATACTGTGTGAGTCTGCCTCAGCACCGACCCAGAAACGTCAGGATATATAATCATCTCAGACCCTCAATTATTTTAGGTCATTGCGAGAGAGAAAGAGATTTGAGGCTTTGACATTGTTGGGATGAAACAGAGAGCATGATGGGATTATATCTAGTTTATTAGGGATTCTCTTCTGTATGAAGACCCTGGCAGACAACGGGTGAGAGGCCTCCAGGAAACATATATGCACAAGCAGGAACTAGAAGTGGACAAATCAAAACATTGAAGTAGTTGTATCATATTGTCACCAACATATTTCTGGTTGAGTCATCGCACATTGTCAAGCATGCCAGATTTTAAACTGGTCTTTACGGGATTTTCATTTTAAATAAAATATGTTTCCTTAATGGAGCTTATAAGAAGTGATTGACATATTTGAATGGTTTTGTTATATTGCATTTTATTGTTTATTTGTAAGAAAAGCTGCAAAGTAGCAATGTTGTGTATTTTAAGAAAATATACAGAAATTAAACAAACATTTTCTAACAAGATGAGCACATGTTTCAAGTTGAAGCTAAACAGCTAGAAAGAACAAAACCAACTTTCATCAAAACAACACAAGCAATGACCATAAACATAACAGCAGCATGATAATAAAACAATAAATGGATGTTGTATCGATATTGTCTTAGATAAGTCTCATTGGGTAAATATTTAATGAAAGCACCATAATCAACCCTACAATAACTTTGCAATATCGATATAAAGGTACGTGGTCAACAGTGTAGTTATTTTGGATTCTCTCTCTGTTACCCACACTTAGTATTAGGGCTGAACGATTAATCGATTTTAAATCGAAATCGCGATTTGAAATGATGCAATTATCAAATCGCAAAGCCTGCGATTTTTTTAAGTTTTTTTTAGTTTTTGTTGTTCTTCTTGTGTGTCAATTATCCACACCAATCAGAAGTGCTGTGCTCCACATGTACCAGTCATTGTTAACCAATCAGAAGTGGCCCATGATAAAAGGTGATAGACAGATTGATCCAATCACCTGCCAAGTATTTTTTAAATACTTTTCCAAAGTGCTTCCAATGGAGCTTTCCTAGATGGTTTGGTGAAACAAACCATCTGAGTCAGGTTAGTAATGCTCCATCACATGTTTTACATCTATTACAGGGTGAATCTTAAACTGAAGCTTGACTTTAAAGCAACCCAACGGAAGTTTCATGTAAGTTTAGTTCTTTCACTCGTAGCTCGGGCTGCGGGGGTGCTAGAGACCGGAGCACGTTGATACGACCTTCCTAGCCGGAGATATGGCCGCATTTTACAATAAACTTCCTTTGGGTCGCTTAAAAACAAATATCACAAATCGAATCGCAATCGCAATATCTGTCAGAAAAATCGCAATTAGATTATTTCCCCAAATCGTGCAGCCCTACTTAGAATCCATAGATGCATCAAGTGTTCAACCTCTGACTCTGTGCAATGGAAAACAATTTGATAATTGATTTAATCACACAGTCAAACTGATCTATATATAGATTGTTTACGTATGGATACAGACTGTATTCATCCGTGGTGATGAATCTTTAATGCCTGGCAGACAACGGGTGAGAGGCCTCCAGGAAACATATATGCACAAGCAGGAACAAGAAGTGGACAAATCAAAACATTGAAGTAGTTGTATCATATTGTCACCAACATATTTCTGGTTGAGTCATCGCACATTGTCAAGCATGCCAGATTTTAAACTGGTCTTTACGGGATTTTCATTTAAAATAAAATATGTTTCCTTAATGGAGCTTATAAGAAGTGATTGACATATTTGAATGGTTTTGTTATATTGCATTTTATTGTTTATTTGTAAGAAAAGCTGCAAAGTAGCAATGTTGTGTATTTTAAGAAAATATACAGAAATTAAACAAACATTTTCTAACAAGATGAGCACATGTTTCAAGTTGAAGCTAAACAGCTAGAAAGAACAAAACCAACTTTCATCAAAACAACACAAGCAATGACCATGAACATAACAGCAGCATGATAATAAAACAATAAATGGATGTTGTATCGATATTGTCTTAGATAAGTCTCATTGGGTAAATATTTAATGAAAGCACCATAATCAACCCTACAATAACTTTGCAATATCGATATAAAGGTACGTGGTCAACAGTGTAGTTATTTTGGATTCTCTCCATGTTACCCATACTTAGAATCCATAGATGCATCAAGTGTTCAACCTCTGACTCTGTGCAATGGAAAACAATTTGATAATTGATTTAATCACACACTCAAACTGATCTATATATAGATTGTTTACGTATGGATACAGACTGTATTCATCCGTGGTGATGAATCTTTAATGGTGTGGAAAGTATGTTATGGCCTATACAGTTATGTCATGGAAGTCATCGGGTCCATTTATTTCTTTACGTTTTTGTACAAGACGGATGATTTATAGGATCAGGTGCTCCCACTGGTACAACCATTACTCTTTCAGATGTTTCTTATATTCTTACATACTTCCAGACACAGTACACATCATTTTATCTTCTTTAATACTTCAGTGTAGCACCCTACCAACTACTCCTTGTTATTCCCTGGAAGTCGATTATTTCCTTTTAGTAACTCCTGTAGCCAGAAACACTTTTTCTTACATATAAGACAAACAAAATGCAGCCTATTTAATACGTGTTGACACCTTAGCCAAATGTAACAGTGCATACTTAATGTTTTAATATATTTACATGCATACATGTTTGTAGCTATGTGTGTATGTATAAACACCAGTATCATGACATCATTGTAATTATCAGTGTTTTCTGTATCAGGATCAACAACTTAAGTTCATAGGTCGCCTGTTTTATTTCTCCAGACTGTTTACTGTACTGATAAAAGACTGTTGCTTGGCGATTGTGTTTGTAATTGTCTTGCGTAACAAGCCTTTTCTCTCTGCTGTTTGTTTTCCTCATCTCACAGTTCTCGTAACAACAAAAGAAGGAGTTTGGCGGTCGGGACCCCCTCACCCACACTCTCACGACCCCTTTCACCTCTCCCACTTGCCACAGGTACTTGTGTGTTGATGATACTTGCGTGTCTGCTCAGCTGTGTGTGTGTGCTATTGTTTCAGACTCTTTACACATGCTTTACGTAGACACAAGAGGATGAAGATAGAATGAGAAGACCACCACATTAGCTGTTTTGTTGAGTATATGCGCCTTAAGCCTTATTTAGTTTGTTGATGCATGTCACAAGACAAGCACTAGTTTCCCTGTGGTTTGATTATCAAGTTTCAATTAAGGCAGCAAGCCAAATGTTCGCACGACATACAATAGTTTTCCTCATACCGATGTTGTTCATGAAGCTTCCTTGAGGCTAGTCTTTCCGTCTTCAGCTGCCTGCAGTGCTATATGGAGACTCATTCATTTGCTGCACCCATTTTTTTTTGAAGCGACTCAGGGTGTGGCAGTGCTTGGCTGACATGAAAACCCTTTAGTGACCCTTTCAATAGTATCTAGTGTTGTGTGATCAACAACAACACTCCCTGCTCTCTGCTGATATTCTGTGATTAGGAAGGGAAGAGGCCCTCTATGGGGTGATACTGTTAATGTAAGATTTGCTTTGGGTTGAACTCTGAAGTAAAGTCATGTGCAAAATAATCATTGAGCATATTTCAAATGTAAAACAAAAGATAGCTGGGGTAATGATTTAACATAATCATATAGTTTATTTAAGCTTGTAATCATTCTCACTGTTTGTAACTGTGTTTCTTCAGCTGGCAGCAGCCCTTCAGAAAGCCCCAGAAATGTCTCTGCCAGCACCTCTGCCAATTTCCAGTTTGCCCGCAGGTAAGGATTAACTCAAACGCTTGTATGGACTTGTAAGGCAGTTGAGCTCAGCCACATAACCACAGAAATATTTTCCCTATCCAATACAAAAACTGGAGCATTACTAAGACTGATAAAAATGCAGTGCAGATGCCTAGATTAAATGCATATTATACCATAAGAGGAGGTTCATCTTCCAGTAGAGGTCACAAAACTATAGAAAGATGAAAACAAAATACATAAATGCTGCTATTTTCTATCTAGGTTCATGCATAAAGTAAACAAGAGAAACACTGTCACTCATTTAAGGCAGTACAATAAAAAACATAAAAATGACATTTGAAACTTTGGGAGGAACCTTAGTTGCGTGAATAATGAACATGCCTTGGCTTGTTCCCTTTGGACCCTGCAGTGGAAATGAGGCAATGGAGAAGTAACTCCAACCAGCTGAAAAGCCCTAGGGCCACTCGCTGGACCCCGGCGTTTGTCTAGCCAATTAAGGCAGCAAGTCGCTGCACACGCTCATTCTTCACGGCTTCTGTGATTATGGGGGAAATTTGCAAAGCTTGTTCTCTCATCATGCTTCTTGCAACTGCACATAGACTCACTGGGATTTAGAGGAAAAGTAGCTGCACCCTCGTCCAGTTGCAGAACATGGTTGCTGCTTCAGTGTCATTGAAGGTGCTCTAAATGTATATGCTGCTCATCTGGAATGTCATGTATTATGAATTAGCATTTGATGTTGCAGTGAAGCACGGCATATTGCAGCATAAGCTGGAGGACGGAGAGGGGAAGCCTCGCACAAGCCTGCATGACTCATCTGAATTTGTTGAGACCTTTTTAGCTGCCTGTGTGGAGACAGATGCTGTGACTGCACTTTTAAAGAGCTCCTCCGGGTGTATTTTATATTCACACGAGCTGTATTGCCCTGCTGTTTGTGCAATCATCTTTTCATGTAAACATGGGAGAACCACACACAAATAGTTGGTATTGACGTCAAGAATAAATGCAAAAAATAAAATCAAGGATCCAACTCAAGGGTGTGGCTTATGGTTTAGCTGCACCATTAAAGAGGCATTATTCTGAGGGTGTGCCAACACTTTTCTCCTTGACACCCCAGGCATCGATTCTAAAACCTTGCTTTAAATCTTAGCTTATTTCCTCTTAAGCCTTGCAGGACCTTAATACAACAACGTAGCATCAGCAGCAGTAAGGCGATTGGTAATACATAGCAGATGACATGCATATCAGATATGAACCAGATGAGAAAACAAACACGTCTTATTCCCATGACTAATCCTCAGATCAGTCACATTCGGAGCAGAACCATCCAATTTGATTGTGTCACTGCTGATTCAACTGCATGTTCCCAAAAGCTTGTTTGTGATAGAATTTTTTTTAGCCTCTCTCTATCACAGATGGAATCAGGGAGGAAAATGAAATGCCATATTGGATGGAAAAGCAGAGGGGCATCACGTAAAGTTTTTAGTGATGGATAAGTGGGTTCTTCATGGTGTATGTGTAGGCACAGTCAGAAGTGTATTTTGTTGGTTTGTGTGCGTGTTTTTAATGAGTCACGAGTCAGGTGTCTATGGGTCTCGGTGCTGCAGTGTGATGGCAGCTTGGCAGGTGTTCAGCAGCAGACTGCCAGTGGCTGCGAGCTGTGACAAACAAACAGCTCTGACTCTGACAGCCAGACGCACTCTGTCACTATCATTAAACACTGTTTATTTTCCCTCTCACTTTGTGTCTCTGCCTGCGCCTCTTCTTTCTAACTCATCTTCTCTATTTGTGTCTTCCTCTTTGCTGTTTTAGCCAACTGGCCCGCAACGAAAGGTAAGAAAACAACTGCGTCTTCTTTTTTATCAACACTACATATGATCTCTTAAAGGTCTCCTATCATGCAAAATGCACTTTTTGATGTCTTTTATACATAAATATGTGTCCCTGGTGTGTCAGTAGACTCACAAAGTGTCCGGAAATACAACCCTCTCTCTTTTCCTCCTTACCCACAATAAAAAAAACGGGTACAACGGAGCTGATACAAATGTGCATGCCGATATGACGTAATATCGGAAATGTGGGCTGGCTTTACGCCCAAGGCCCTATCAGAAACGTTGCTGTATCAGAAACAATGCGTAATGTTTTGGAAGTAATATGGTCTTTGTTTACATTAGCAAGCATTGCTAACACTCAGAGCTAACGCTGTACTGGAGAGAGTATGTGTAAATAAGCAGGATATAAAAAGGTACTCACCTTGTGGTAAACCTGCAAGGGAAAAAGCATTTGAGCTCCATACTGTTTCAGAAATAATCCTTGATGTGGTTTGGAACATGATATGACATTTAATCATGGCGGCGTTTAGCTGAATATCTGGGTAGAATTGTCCTGCATGAGCTCTCGCCTCGGCTCTCGTTTTATTTTTATTTATTTTTTAAGCTAAGGACCCAGAATCAGCCCTTCTCTAACAGGGCTGACATATAGGGGGTTGAGGCATGACTAGAATGGGTGATCTGTTTGGTATTTTGAGCAAAACACTTCATAGACATGTTTTTTATATATCTGAGACCTATACTATATGCCTAAAAATAGTATAATAGGAGACCTTTAAAAGAGCAGATTTGCATAAAATGCAATTGCAGGTGTACACTTTGAAGTTTCAGTCAACAGGATGTGTAAGTTGTGTATGTGATGGTGAGCTCCTTCTGAGCAGTGTGTCTTCTGTTGTGTTACAGCAGCAGAGTGGACGGGAGACGGTGGTCCGTGGCGTCGGTTCCCTCGTCTGGATACTGCACCAATGCTACCAGTTCATCAGTATCTGTAAGTCTCTTACTGTGTATCACTCAATGTTTTCATTACCCTGTCAGTGTGTCTCATTTCCTTCATCAGACATTCAACCTTGTTCCAAACCGCTGCCAGGGGACCCTTTAGCTCCCTGTGTTACTTACAGTCAGCGTATCAGCCAGTTTACGGGGAAATAGTGTCCTGTAAGCTTATGGTGTTGATTGACTGAACTAGAACACTAAATCCCATAAGATCAGTGTAGGAAATAAATCAACCTATAAATTGTTTTTGATTTACAGTAGACCCCAGAGTTATTTCATAAAGTTCTCTGCACTTGGACCATATTTGAGTTGAGCTGTGAGGGTAGTTTTGTATACCTTTTTGTCAAGCCACTCACAGGAAAATACATAGATTAAAGATTTATTTTCAAGATTCAAGGCTTTATTGTCATGTACACATTAGCTAAAGTTTAGATATGGCAATGAAAAACTTAAGTCACAGGCTCCTCCAACAGTGCAACATGAACATATATAGGACATAAAACAGATACAATAGTGCAAGAGAATGTTTTGAGATGTGCAAGTAATTACAAATAAAATAGAAATAGTGCAAGAAGAGTCTATATAGATAGAGATAAAAATATTCTGCAGGGGAGCTTTGAGAAATGTCTTTGGCTGAACTGCCTCTGTTTTTGGTTAACACAAACTACTCGCTCTTTAAAACCAGGATGTATATTTCATTTTGGTTCGAGTTTCACTTCACACAGACCTTGTGGCATCCGCAGGGCATACAGTTGAGGTCATTTGTTTAACCAATGCAAGCAAAGACACTGAACACATTCTCAGAGGCAGGTGGAAAAATTCACACCATCACCACACTGCTACTTGACAGTCTGGTCGATCATAGCCTCTATAGCAGTGGTCGCGTTAACCGAATATTTTCCGTCTATGACGGATTTTTTTAAACAATGACGGACAAATCTGAAAGCAGTCTGTCATTTTGACAGATTAGAACAAACTCGCAACAGCGCCAAAGCTTCCCCGCAGCGAGGCTCCGGTGTTATGCCATGTTATGCATGCCCGCCAAAAAGGAAATGATATAGTTTCCAAACCTAACTTTGTCGTACAAATCATTGAAATGTCTCAGAGTTTTTGCTTTACGCTGTGCGCGGTCCCGCGAGGTGCAGTGGGCATGCATAACACGGCATAACACCTTTGCTAACAGTTCACGAGCGTGCGCCCCCCCCCCCCCTGCATTGACAGTTTGTGAGCGCTCTCTCTCTCTCTCTTTCAACTACAGACAGGAGATATGAATCAATCCTTTGTTTTTCCTAGAATTGTCCTGGAATGAGTACAAATTAACGTTTTATAATAATCCAACACAACATTTAACTTGATATGGTGTGTTTGTCTTCCTGAAATCAACTCTAAACTCAGTATAATTAATGGGAACAAAGAGGTACTATTTTACCATGTGACCATGCTGATTACATGACTTTGTACCAAGATGATTTGGGCCGTACTCTTTCGACCATGGGGAAAGTACTGGAATGTTCGGCCTTATCTCTAAAATAACACGAGTCTTGTTAAAATGCACGACTTCTATTTCCTGAATGACATCACTCATGAGTAGGGACTTAACATTTCCTCACTTCCTTTCAAGGAAAAGTCAAAACGCATGGCCCAGTAACCCCCATCAGCTATTTGTTGATGGTTTCCGTGTTAATCATCTTGAGAAAGTTGAGAAAGTCATTACTAAAACTGCAGTTGGCTGTAAAAACAATGCCTGTTCTCCTCTGTCACGGCTGTAATTTTGTATAGCCAACCACATGGCTTGGAGACGGTGAGGTCAGCCTTCCCCACACAAAGCCCCTTTCAGGCTCGCTGTCAGTGAGGTCTTTATGCTGCTCTCGCCCGCTTCTGACACGTCTGTAGTTTCTTCCTCAGGGTATCTTTCTCCCCCTCTTTCTGTCCCTTATTTTCAGTTTTTCGCTCTGTTTTCCTTTCTCTTCTTGTCTCGGTTTAGCTCGTCTATTTCCTCCGGTCAGATGAAGCCCCTCTTCTCTTTACCTCTTCCTCAAGTGAAACACAAGATCCCAGCCAGATGGGAGTTCTCATAAATTCCAGGCTGCGTGTCACACATTTTGTCTTGGAAAGAGAAAACGAATGCATGCACGGCCAACACAACAGCCGTCGCTGCGTGCCTCAGGCGTGCTGCAGCAGGGAAGAAATAAAAAGCTTTTGGAGAGCAGAACACTAAAGCTCACAGAGTCCTCTTGAAAACTATAGGGATTCATGGTGATTTATTTTTACTGCAGACCTTTCTCAGCATGTCCTTTTTAAAATGTTACATCTAATCCAGAACTATAGTGGAGCGTGAAACTTTTTAGACTGTGAGCATTAACAAGATAATGAGTGAATCTGAGAGAGCAGCTGTGTGAGTCTCTTAAACTCAGGCTGTTACAGTATATCATCAAAGAAGCACAACCTGATATGGATACACATTTGCAAAGTGGGGAATACGTTTGAGTTTTTAGCCAGTTATTGCTTTAATAGCAACATTGGAATATATTCTAGTTTACTGATTATACTTCTCTCTTCCACATTCCCTATTTCCCTTTACCCCACAGTCCTCTTCTTCCCAGGAGTTATTGCACCAGTTGCCCTTCCAGCCCACGCAAGATGATCTCCACTTCCTGTTCAAACATTTCCGGAGCACGGAGAGTGTGGCAGACGAAGAAGGAGCGCAGGCCTCGCCCCCTGTCAGGCTCCGTTCACGCAGTCTCAGGTAGCCTGGATTTTAATCATTAAAGAACTTTACGGCAGAGAAGAATGGACCACACACACATTGGTGTAGCACTCCACTGTGAGAAGTGTTAATCTCATCAGATTAGAGCCACACCTCTCTTGTTTTATGTTGTGTGTTAATCATAAAATAATTGAGGGAGGATAATGTCAGGAGGCACTGTTTACCACTTATAATACACTCAAACATATAAGAAACACAACACAAAATGCACAGATTCAACTTGTAGTGTATCTAGTTTAGCTAAAATGCAGTGAAGCCCTGTTGTTTTAGCTGGGTTGGTTAGCTAGTTAGCCAAGCCTTCTGGTTTGAATAACTAATTGAAGCCTATTATGAAATAGCTTACTCAATACATGAATGCCCTCAGTGTGAATGAAAGAGAAGAAAATAAGTCATGCCTGCCATTTGTATTTTTAATTATTGAACCAAAGTTTCTTCTCTTCAATTGTTAGTTTTCTGTTAGCTATTGAGCTTTAGTGACAGCCTCCTGTATGTTTCCCTTATATTGCACAGCTGCGTACTCAAACATGGATTTGAGATCCTTGTATGAGAGGGAAACTGTTAGCAGTGCTGCAGACACTGAAAAGCCTGCAGTTAGCAACAGTACTGTAAACACAAATGCAAACACTCAACCTCAAACCAACAAAAGTAGGTTTAATGTTCCACAACGTCTTACATTTAGAAATAATGAAGTAGTTGCTGGGAGGATTTGAACAAAGAGCGATAATTATTGTATGTGGTTCTGGGAATAAAGTTGTACCATTTTTATACTGAGCCCTAGGATTAGAATATAGCATTTTATAAACATTTAGCATGGTCGCTCACATTAAACACTTAATATAAACCCTATAAACTGCACTTGTGGGGGGAGTTTCGAGGTTGCAGGAGGCTTTTTTTATAATGGGCTGTTGAGGGTGTTGGCAACATCTTGATGTGGTTGTTTTTTTTCACTAATGTGTCATTGCCCGGGCCACATATATATATATGGATGTATACTGCAAATCTATATATATATATATATATGGCAGAGAATGTTCTAGACATGTCTACTGCTCTACATATGCAGAAGCGGTGGCTCTGTACTTAAAGGGGAAGATGTCACAGTGAAGGCTTTTATAAATAAATGTCGATATCATATATGGATCTTTAACTCTAAGGTCTAAGTTGATGAGATAATGTGAAATGGTCCAATATAAAGTTTATTAAATATTAAACTTTTACAGGCATCCAGGCTTGTTAACGGTGTTCGTGGTTGGCTGATCCTAAAGTCTTAAAATGCTCTAATTGTAAAATCTCAACATAATTGGTTACATCTATTTAATAAAAGAGAATTTACCGCATGCATTTCACTATAATGTCATGCAGATTCGTATTAACGCTTAACAGTTCAATATGAGATTCAAACCCTCTAAAAGTTTCATTTGACTTTTCAAATGCTATTAAAAACACACTGGAATTACTGCGTGCATTAAATGTGGAATACGATGACTGACAGGTGTCCTTGTTTCTCTCAAATAGCTCCAGAGGGTGTGTAAAGCGCTTCTTATTGCCTTCAAATAGTTCCCAAGGGGTTAACTATTGCTATTGCCCTCTAATAAATCCCCTGCTGTGCAACTCCAACTGTTGCAGTTGCACCAAAATAGTAACTGCATGTCACTGCTTGTTGATATTGTTATGTGTAGTATGTGATGTATTGGGCACCGAGCGTTGCTATTCTTAACATTTGTGATGACAGCTCTCTGATTTGTAATGTGTACGGACGGCTTTAAAGCTGCCCCGCTCGTAACTGAAGCCCTGTGCACACAACAGATGTGGTCATGGATACTGCAGATGAGAACCTGATCTGAATCACATTAGTGTTTTATTCAAAACACGCTGGGTTTATGGCCCGGCATGGCAGTAAACGCTTTCAGTCAAACATGTGCACTTTAGTCTTAAGAAACTTTTGTTTAGCTTAAATAAGATTGATAGATGTGGTCTTTACAGCTTTAATATGTATTAGTATTTAACCATTGCCGGTACTAAACTTTAAACATATTTCTGACATCCTTCTAAAAAGAAGGCATTCATTGGTATTCAAATGTTTTTAATCAAATCCGAGAAATGCTAATACATAAGAATTAGAACTTTATATGCAAATGTGTATATAAATTGGCTAGTTAAACAATATCTTGCTGCATGGCTGAAACTGAAACCTGGCAATGCATACAGCAAAGCATATGTTGTGAAGGATACATTTCAAACAGCATGGTAATTCATTACAATTTCTTCTTCAGCTGTGGTTATTGTACATTTAACATTTATTTCCAAAAGCCATTTATTAAATGTGCAAATCTAACTTATTAAACCGTAGGAGCCAAATATGATTCAGATGTGGAATCCATTTATTATTGGCTGTATCTCTGATCTATTTTTCTGTTTCTCATCCAGCCCTGGAAGGACCTGTGGAACATTTGACAATGAAATCGTCATGATGAATCACGTCTACAAAGAACGTTTCCCTAAGGTATAGTCGGTTCTTTTCACCACTTTATCTTTCATTTATTTTTCACTCTGAGCTGTAATGGTTAAACATCTTCAGTTTGCAAGTGCATTTCCATGCAAAAAGATGATGCACATGAGCTTTATTACACAAAATTAAAATCTCGACTCTTCAAACTAAAGTCAATTGTTGTCACGAAGCTGCTGTCACTGTTTTAAATGAAGTCTTCCATCTTCCATTGTCTCCCAGGCAACAGCCCAGATGGAGGGTCGGCTGCTCGACATCATCGCTGAGGTTTCCCTGGACACCGCTCTGCCTCTGGCTGACGGGGTGCTGGGATTCATTCAGCACCAGCTGGTGGAGCTCGCCAGAGACTGTCTGGATAAGTCCCAGAATGGCCTGGTCACCTCCAGGTACTTTGTGGAGCTGCAGGAGAAACTGGAGAAGCTGCTGCACGAGGTGAGTGTCTCTTATTATCCAGCCACTCTTCTCTTCTTCTTTCTTAGACATCCTCAGTGGATTTCTGATTGTTGGTAGCTCAGATTGCCCTCTGGGACATTGCATGCTGTACTTTAGTAGCTTCACTGGGAACATTTAATGGAAATTGCTTATATAGTACATCCACAATAGAGTGGTTGCATGACATACCTGTGTCTTTACCCATGTCCAGTGACTGTCTCTCCACTGTCAAATAAAAGCAAAAAGTCCTCACTAAAACTATTAAAACAAATAAAATAAGAAATGGCCTCCATGATTGGTTCTCATTTGGTGCTGTTTCCAGTTCATTGGCCAGTAATTGTGTTGTCATTTTGTGTCATTACTTGAATATGTGCAGTTGTCAAGTGTTTGATTATGCAATGATTTATAACATAACCTTTCCAGCAACAATTTGACTGCAGTACATGCTGCCTCTTTTGCGAAACAGATTAGAGCTTCTGCTGCAGACTCCAATGACTTTCTCTCTTTAAACAGAACGTTTAAAAGTGAACATCCAGTTATCCTTTAGCCACAGTCAGTACAAAGTGGATGCAGTGCTTTCTTGTGTTCCTTCAGTCTCCAAGTAGTTGATTGTATTATTTTAGTTTATCCTACAGCACAACAGGGTGCACATTATTCTGTCTATAATTTCCACTAAAGCCACATTTCTGTAATTATTCTTCCATCTCGCCAATAAAATGATTTTCCGTCTTAGTAAGAGTTTATTTTAAGCGACTGTTCCCTGCTGTCACATGTTAAAGTGCTTGAGTTTGTCCCTTTGCACGCTACTTCTTCTCTGGAATAAGAATTGCTGTTTTATAATGCTTTTTTTCTTTCCAACTTTTGGAAGACGATATCTTTGAAAACAAATCTTGTAACAGGTTTGACGGGTTGAGACCCAGATGATCAGGTTAAACTCTGACTTAAATCCCTCTTACAACCTCCTCTGAAACCTCTGTTTGACCAAGGCAAGGCAATGCTAGCATAAGATATGGAGACAATGAAGGCTAATAATAGGTTTCGCAAGTGTTTTCTCATATTTATAAATCTGGCAAGGCAGCAAACAGAAATGAGTATTGATGCAAGATGTCAAAACACCAGCCTAGATCTATTGAATCACCAAGATGAAATGGATGCTAAAAATAATATGAGCCAGAGTGAAGACAGCTTCTGTGGGTGAGACTGTCTGCCTTATGCCTCGTGCCAATTGGATTAAGTCAAAAATAACAATCCATCATCCTTTGTCTTTTCCCGGTCAGGCGTATGAGCGTTCAGAGAGCGAGGAGGTGGCCATCATCACCAAACTGGTGAAGACGATTCTCATCATCATCTCCAGGCCGGCCAGGCTGCTGGAGTGTCTGGTAAGTCTCGCTGTCAGACAGTAGTGATCAGGAGGGACACAATATCAACGTGATGTCTACCAGCTGACAGTCTAGAACTAAATATATGTCCCTTTTTTAAATGCAGGCCTCACAGGTGACTCGTATACATTGATGACATGGTGTTATAATGATAGTCGTCGCTGTAATAATAACAACACAGTTTCATGTTGGAGTTAGGCAGCAGAAAGCCTACCTTGTCAGACTTGATTGTAGTCCTTTTATTTTCCATTTAATATTGACAGTGGGTTTTTATGAGAATTCAAGTTCACAAGAAAAAAACAGTACTGGTTTTACCTTTTCAGCCTCTTACTTATCAACTCGAGCAATGGTGTTTCCTGTGTTTTCTCCTGTTGTGTTGTTGGCAGCATTTGTGTCCTTTTGCAAAAGTGTCCTGTGATAGTCATGAATGCTTTTTTTTTTATCCGATCCAAAATAAATGACATTCAAAATGCAAAGAAACCACATCACGTCTTTAATTCCTCTCTCACAGGAGTTTGATCCAGAGGAGTTTTACCAACGTTTGGAGGTGGCAGAGGATCAGGCCAAAGTCGGCCACGGCATCAAGACAGATATTCCCAAATACATCATCAGCCAGCTCGGCCTCACCAGAGATCCCTTGGAAGGTGCAATGATGATTCATTTGTTTGCATTCTGTATTTTACCTACTATAGTGTCTATTGAGGCCTTTGAGAATACCTTTTAAGATTCATTTTTACAGTATGCTCGGACTGGATAGGAATGACATTAAAAACATTATCAGAGCTTTATCTTCATCGCTATCTTACAATATTTGTACTTAAATCCTCTGGTAAGGAGTTCATTTCCTGTGGATTTCACTGATTCAAATGCATGTTTACTTTTCAACCAGAAAAATAAACATAGATCAAATCATAATGTTACTGGAGAATTTCTTTAAATAATTTAAATGGGGAAACCATTATGCTAATGGAACTTTTCTTGTATGTTTGATATTGTTATTGTTGCAGTAAGTACTGTTATTTCATGTTGAACTTTTGCACATAAGAAGATTTTATTGTTACCCATTGTAAACAAGCTTCAATTTGTGACAGGACTTATCATATTATGTCACTTTACTCAACAAACTACTCCTTCCCTGTGCTGTCTTTGAACTTGTTTTCTGATTTCATTGTGTCTGTTCTTCTTGAGCACACCTAATGAATGTGGATTTCCCCCTAGTATTAGATCCTGCCTTAGTTTTACTAAGTCTTTCATTGTTCAGTTAAAAAGGCTGTGCATTTAGTCTGTGTAATTGACCATTGAAAGTACTCCCTCTGCAGAACGACACGTCAGTATTGCTTTGTATGATATTCAGCAGAGTGGAGCGTAATTCAACCGAATTAGAAAACCTGTAATGAGTTTGCAGAGACATTATAACCTAATCATGTATAAATGTGATTTGGAAACGGTGACAATTGTAATTTCGTTAAGCATCATTAGTCAGTTACTATCATTCACAAACAGTTGAATAACCTCTCATCGCTCTCACTGATTTTTTATTTAAACTAAAAAGGAGTTGTGTCTGCTGCTGTTTCAGAGATGGTCCACCTGGAGCAGACCAGTCCGAGCCACAGAGCCAACAGAGAGTCTGACGACACAGGAGACGGTACACATATGCAGGTAAAGCTTATATTAGATGGTAAATAAGTAGTTATAATGAAATATGAAGTGATTCTTAGTTTGAAGGCAAAATAGAAATGTACAAACAACACTCAAGTGGTTGCTGCGACCATTTAAATGATATAAAGAGCTCTTTCGGGAAAGAAAACTCTTAATGTTATCACAATGAAGTCCTGAAGTGCATGTATTTATGCTTTCCATGAGCAATGCAGCAACTTAGTTCCTGTTTTTTTCCTTCCGTTTCCTTTTTGTGTGATTCAGGGCCGAGCAGCCTGCACCCCTTCTCGTAGGAAACCACTGGAGAGTGACTTTGAGACCATCAAGCTCATTAGCAATGGCGCCTATGGGTGAGTAAGACAGACGTCTTTGTTTCCGACTAGCTCAGATTCTTTGTTGACACCGCAGAGAGCCCAATAAACGTGGAAAAGAAACTAAAAAGAGGATGTGTTGTAGTTTGGGTCAGAGCACGGACAGTGTAGGGACTACCCAATGGGAATTATTATTATTTTATTATTTTTCCTCTTGTCCCACCAATCAATTGAGTCGTTTCATTTGCCATCAGCCATTATTTTGCATTAATTGTTTTTATACTGGATCTTAACGGAAATGTGTTAACAAACTGGGCCTTATGTTCCAAAATCAAATTTGGATTAAGTGGAAAATAACAAAGAAACTTCTTACAATACTACTAGTTAGTACCAACAAAAAATTTGATTTGTTATGTGTTTTATTTCATTTTGTCCTCTTCCATCTGTTCCCCTGTCATGCAGGACTGTATTTCTGGTGCGCCACAAGGAGACCCGTCAACGGTTTGCCATGAAGAAGATCAACCGGCAGAACTTGGTGCTGAGGAATCAAATCCAGCAGGTGTTTGTGGAGCGAGACATCCTCACCTTTGCTGAAAACCCATTTGTGGTTTCTATGTTCTGCTCCTTTGAGACACGGAGGCACCTCTGCATGGTCATGGAGTATGTGGAAGGTACGGTTAGAATGATCCACTCATACATATTATGTCTTTAAAGACTAATGTTTTCTAATATTCTTTTACCCACTATAAGCCCAAACAAAGCATCTGACTGTCTGTCTTTGTACTTTAGGTGGGGATTGTGCCAACCTGTTGAAGAACATCGGTCCTCTGCCTGTGGACATGACTCGGCTGTATTTTGCTGAGACTGTCTTGGCTTTGGAGTATCTTCACAACTACGGGGTTGTACACAGAGACCTCAAACCAGACAAGTGAGTCCTCATTTCACTTCTTTCTCTCTCTGCTCTGAGGTAGCTCCAAAGTACTTTAAAGCTTTAATCATTTTTAGACTTTCCATTAGAGCCTGGCAATCTTTTTGAAGTAGTCACAGAAGTGTTCAGCCTTTCATACTTTTTTTACCCAGTCTAAATCTAAGTTTTGGGTAAGCGTTTGATGTGTTCTGTTTCCTTCTTTTGTAGTTTGTTAATCACCTCCATGGGACACATTAAGCTGACAGACTTTGGGCTGTCAAAGATCGGTTTAATGAACATGACCACCAACTTATATGAAGGACATATCGAAAAGGATACCAGGGAGTTCATCGACAAACAGGTCTGTCTCTTCTCATCTCCTCCTCTCTTCATCTCATCTTTAACGATCTCAAACCAACATCAATATTTTCTCTCTCTTACATCTTCCTTTGCTCTCATCAGGTGTGTGGTACTCCTGAGTACATTGCTCCAGAGGTGATCCTGAGGCAGGGCTATGGCAAGCCAGTAGACTGGTGGGCTATGGGCATCATCCTGTATGAGTTCTTGGTGGGCTGTGTGCCTTTCTTTGGAGAAACACCAGAACAGCTGTTTGGTCAGGTGGTCAACGGTTAGTGCAATTCTCCTCAGTCATCACATACAACCTTTCCACACATAGATAGATATTGACCAACATTTAACGTTTAGGTTGTGTTTTGATGTGATTAAATCCCTTCATTGGTTGATTGTATGTTCTTCTTTGTCCAGACGACATAATCTGGCCTGAGGGGGAGGACGCTCTGCCGGCTGATGCCCAGGACCTGATCACCAGACTGCTGAGACAGAGCCCTCTGGATCGACTGGGAACAGGTTGGTGGGGGTGTGACTGATGAGGAGTGGGTACACAACACTCTTAATTCAATTCAATTCAAAGGTTTTAGTGTCATGTGCACTTAAGCTACAGTGTAGAATAGGTCCTCTGACAATGTATATGTATAGAACATAGTTATATAAGACATAAACAATAAAACAAATAAAAAAATTCAATACAAAAAAAAGCAACAAAAGAAAATGGATATATACAAGAACAGAATGTAAAACTACTTTATGTCCCTTTTGAGACACGGAGGCACAGGTCCCAGGTTACACTAGGTCTGCTACAATTTGTCAGGGAAGCCATGACACGGGGGATTTCACCGGAGAGAGATGTTTATGAAAGTGTTATGTCAAGGAATATTTTTGAAAGATCACATTTAGCAATTGGTGGCAGTTATCTTTAGGGCTGTGTCTGATAGAAACTTTCCATCAACATGGAACTTTTCCATTACATGAAAGCTGTGTGCCTAATGAGTGTTAATAAGGCAACAGGGAGATATAAGGATATCAAGGGAGACACGGAGTAGCTGGGGATCAACTGTAAACCAGGTCTAAGGTGTGCAGATATGAAAGCATACCTGTTTGTCTGATTTTTATTTGATTTTTTCTCCAGGTGGAACCACTGAGGTGAAGATGCACATGTTCTTCCACGGTCTGGACTGGAATGGCCTGCTGAGACAGAAAGCTGAATTCATACCTCAACTAGAGACTGAGGACGACACTAGTTACTTTGACAGTACGTTACAGACCAGTCAGATTTATGGACAGATAAACACACGGTGCCTTTCATGATCTAATATGGACTGAGCTAACTACAATACAAATATGGATCACTTTCTGCACACACCTTTGTTAAAAACACAGAAAGACACAGGACCAGGAGATGTTACAGTGATGGCAATTGTAGTAAGAATGTTTATTATTATTATTAATGCACTGTCATTGTGTTTCTTACAGCTCGATCGGAGCGCTACTGTCACCTGGACTCGGATGATGACGATGAAACCAACGATGATGAATCATCTCTAGAGCTCCGACAGTTCTCCTCTGTGGCTCACCGCTTCAGCAAGGTACTGCTCTGACTATGTCACAAATTATTCATTTTGTGTAGAGTTAAAATGTAAGAAAACGTTTCATAAAGGTTTGAAGCCAAGCATTAATACAAGATTTGTGGAAATGTACATTTACATGAATATCTGTGAAGTTTTTGGGTCTTTGCAAATTAAATTCCTTTTCAAGTTATTTTTTAATAAATATATATCAATAATAAATACACGTACCATTAAAAGATATATCTTAGAAACATTGGTGATAACCTTCTGATTAAGCAGTCCAGATATCTTGGTTAAACATCAATGTGACCCATTTCTTCTAATGCTCCAGGTGTACAGCAGCACGGAGCATCTGTCCACCTCCACGCCGTCCAACCAGAGCCTGTCGTCGCCGGAGCGCAGCCAGAGCGAGGAGAAGGAGGAGCGCTGGGAGGGCAGGGGAGGCCTCTCCCCATGCGATGGAAACAAACACTTGGCCAGTGGAGACAGGCGGGCAGATGGACCCAGGGGGAGGTGAGAACTTGAAACAGGAGAGAGGGATGTCCTTATTATGAGAGGAAAGGATTGAAGCCAGACCTCGTTCTCACCTTGATGGCTTACCATTTTAGAGGAAATGTGAGATTGAGGTGTATTATTATTTTGATTTTGATTCTATTTTATCTTTATTTTTACATTGTGTGAATCCTGTTTTTCACTCTGATCCTGTTGCTGCTATAAACGCCTGCATTTCCCCACGGGATAATAAAGTTCCATCTTATCTTATCTTATCTTATCTTAATATTCTCTCTTCTTATATATGAAGCATTTTATTTAGCAAATAAGCAATTTTTCTGAGATTTAAAACATGTAGGATCATAAATTCATTAATAGGACATTTTGGGTACGTACGTTTGATACCTTTCATTTTGAATTGTATGTGACCCCTAATGGAGTAACCTGACATATACTGACAAAGTTGTGAAGCTTCAGCAGTGAAACCAGTACTATTTATAAAATGAGTGGTGACTACAATGTAGTCTTTTTCCTCAAGGTTTAGTTTAGTTTATTTGTTTATAGTGTCGTGGACAGTCCCCATTGATCAACTGTCACAAAAAACAGTAAATGGGGCAGCTTTAGCCAACATTGCTCATTTCCAGCTGTTGTCCCCGGCCAGATGATAATGGACACCCTTAAAATCACAATACATCAACAGCATTAGTTATAAAAAAAAGGATGAAAGACAAGTGGATAAAGGCGAAAAGGTGAATGTAAACATACAAGAAACATACCAGGGCTAATTCATCCAAACATATGGTAATGCAATTTACACTTAATAAGCGGTAAATCTGGATCATTGATACATTTTTTTTTAATTGCTCTATAGCTTTTCATAGGAAGAACATTGCTGCGACATCATTGTTCTACGTAAATAGACAAGTGTTCCTAAAATCCTCTGTCCACTGTATGTTCCTTGCAGTCTGCGTCCTCGTGCTTCCTCCAGCTCCTCTCAGTCAGAGCGCAGTGCGAGCCCGCTGGTGATGAACAGCACCCAGAGCCTCGACATCATGCCCCGCTTCGCCATCTCGGCCGAGGAAGAAGGTAAGATTGACAAACCTAGACTGTACTCTCCTCTCCTGTTATTTAGCACTAATGAAGCATCATAACTCACACTCAATATGTCCTTATCCTAGATGGGTTGGTTTCCAACCTGCAGCGCATTCGGCTCCGGAGCAACAGCACCGGCACCAGGCCGTCCTTCCGCAGAGGGGCGTCCCGGCGCATCGCCCACCAGCTGGAGACCCCAGAGAAACCCAGATCCCCCGCTGGAAAAGTCCCCAAGTCTGCATCTGTCTCTGGCCTGTCCCTCATCATCACCCCAGGTAGACAGGATTATAATACTGTCTATAAAATAAAATGTACAAGTTGGAATAGATTCAGTTGCTTACTCAATTTCCAGCCATATAAATATTTTGTTATATTTTATAGGCAGAACTGTAATCTCAATGCATGTGTTTACAGTGCCACCTACAGCCTGATGCCGTGTAACTTGTGCAGTAAACACAAATCATAAATACAAATACTTTGGGGCCAAGATAAGAAGAATGTCACCTGACTAGTTATGATTCTCAAAAACCACACGTAGTAAAACAACCCCCCACCTTTAAGCAATATTATTGTATTTTTGTTATAGCAGTGTTATCAAATACTAAATAATGCAAAATGTAGGAAAATATCCATCCATAAGCACTCATCTGATGAGCTTTCTAATCATCTGTTCCTCCTGATCTAGATGACTCTGCAGGTCCTCCCACGAGCCCCAAATCGTCCCTGTCCCTGTCGTCCAACCCCTCGTCCAGGGACTCGTCCCCCAGCAGGGACCTCTCTGTCAACGTCAGCTGCCTCCGGCCCCCTGTGGTCATCCACAGCTCTGGGAAGAGGTTCGGCTTTGCGTTACGAGCTATCAGAGTCTACATGGGGGACAGTGACGTCTACACCGTTCACCACATGGTCTGGGTACGTGTCTTCTCAGGTGTAGCCGTGCTAATTGTGAAAGTGAAACCAACCTATTCAGCCAATTTAAAGTGTAATTGATTGATTAAACATGTAATTTAAAAACAACCTCAATGGTCTTCAGATTTTTTTAATATTGTATATGGCCATAACATTCTAAAGCATAGAGACTCAACTCAACTCTGTATTTTGTAGTTTTTATGTGTGCGTTTAGATTTATATGATGCTGTGCATAAATGTGTTATTGTTTATATCGTTTTTCTCCCTGATAAATACATTGGTTGTGATAATTGCATAGGTGTAGTCATGGTTACAGCTGATGGTTGCTTGAGCAGTCATTTTAATCTTTTGTGTGTGTTTGTGTCCACAGTGTGTTGAGGAAGGCAGTCCTGCGCACGAGGCAGGGTTGAGGGCCGGTGACCTCATCACTCATATCAACGGGGAGTCGGTCCAAGGACTCGTCCACACTGAGGTCGTGGAGCTGCTGCTGAAGGTATGATAATAACTTTCATTTATACAAATATGAAACAGTATTGTATATTTTGATCATTACATTGTGTTTTAAATTAAATGTTTTGCTGCTAAATCATTCTGTGATAGCATATCATTTTGTGGCTCCTAAGAGAGATGCCTTATAGATTATGTTAATGTGTTTTTAACAGAGTGGCAACAGGGTGACTCTGCAGACTACCGCTCTGGAGAACACTTCCATCAAGGTGGGCCCTGCCAGGAAATCCAGCTACAAGGCCAAGATGGCCCGACGCAGCAAGAAGAGCAAGAAGAAGGACGGACAGGACAGGTACGTGACTTGATGCTTGACATACTGTATAGAACTCATGTCTGAAGCTTAGTATCAGATTTCATATTGACACCTTACAATGATTCCATTCTTAAAGTCCTTCTCTTACATTTTGGTCGGCCTTTTGCATCATAAGAGACACTTTTTTCCTTAACAGGCATACAAAAAACATTATTATTTACAAAACAAACCTGACACCTCTCTCCTCTGTGCAGCCGACGACGTAGCATCTTGAAGAAGCTGTCTAAGCAAACGCCTCCTCCGCCCATGCAGAGCAGTCGTAGCTTCTCTTCGGGTTTCCACCAGTCATCCAGCGACAGCCTCTCCGGCTCCCCCACACAGAGCCTCTCTCCTGGGCCATCCACACCGTGTCGCTCCCCTGCTCCCGATTACTCTGGAGGTGAGTGAGGTCACCACACACACTTGCATCCTTAATCTGCACACTTGTGTAAATATATCTTCATTCAAATGCTCAACATTTTACTGTGATACCTTCTTTACAACAGTTACTTTATCACTTTATTTTACAAACATTTTGTATTATTATTTTTTATTCTATTTTGTCTTTATTTTTACCTTGTGTGAATCCTGTTTTTAACTCTGACCCTGTTGCTGCCATAAACGCCTGAATTTCCCCAAGGGGATAAATAAAGTTCCATCTTATCTTATCTTAAAAGGAAACTGTCAATCACTTTGTATGTTGTGAAAAATATATACTCATCCTAAGCTGTTTTATTTGTTTCTTTCGGCAGATTCAAGTTCCTCTCCGTGTTCCAGCTCCCCTAACTCTCCTGTCCCACAGCCCCGCCCCAGTTCCCTACATGTTTTGGGTCGCTACACCAAAGCTGGCCGCTGCAAGTCCACCAGCAGCATCCCTCCTTCACCTCTGGCCTGCATCCCGCCTCCTCAGCCCCTCTCTCCGCAGTGCTCTCCATCCTGCCTCCCGAATCACCCCAAGTCTCTTCAGGGTTTTCATGGAAAGACGTTGTCCCCTCCCACTATCACCCGCCACTCTGTGCGTCCCCGCAGCGCAGAGCCGCCACGCTCACCGCTCCTCAAGAGGGTGCAGTCAGCGGAGAAGCTGACTGGAGACAAGATGACAGGGGGCTACCATGCTGAGAGGAAGGCCTACAGCACCCGCCGCCACACCATGGAGGTGCCTCTGTCTGAGGCGGAGGGGCTGGAGGACATGGAGGGGGACACCGCCACTGGGTTCGTCTGTGTCGGGGAGCACGGCCGTCAGGGTTTGTTCATCGGGCAGAGAGGCTACCAGGACTCAGCCAGCGGAGGCAGCGAGCTCTACCGCTCCACCGCCTCGCCACAACACCGCAGCAGCAACCACCACTCCAACGAGGTGGTGGTGATGAGGAAGCTGGCCCTGTCGGAGCGAAGGGATTCCTTTAAGAAGCAGGAGGCCGTGCAGGAAGTGAGTTTCGACGATTTGGAGGAGAGAGAGGCAACCCCGAGCCCAACGCCTCCTCTCACGCAGCCCAAGGATTTCAAGGCGTCCTGGATCAACTCGGACAAGGCACAATCTGCTGTGAAACTGGAAGGAAGAGGAGCACAGGGTACAACAACACCGCAGAAAGCCAAGTCAAAAGACAAAGGAGGGTTTTAGTTTTATCGCTTTGCCAGGAAAACAGTACAATGAAGAGTGTCTAGGCTGATTAGTGAAGAAGAGTCTTTGACCTGCTACTGTAACTTACATTTGAAGGCCTTGCATGTGTCCAGAAAACTGTGACCAAGTCAAAAATCATCACAAGCATCACCTCGAAGACGGAAGAGCAAATTAACATCAATTTTTCTCAGTAATATATGCATCCTGCAACACTGTTAACAGAATAATGACTGTCCAACTTCGTCCACTTCCTAGTTGCTTGTTTTCTCTCTGTGGGACCTGGAACTGATGTATTTTGTAAATAGTTTTTGTTTTAAATGAAGGAGACTTATTTATGAATTTGATTTGTATGCTCATCTTTGTTTGTGGTTGCTGAAAATGCCTTGGATGCTTCAGCCTACTCTTGCACAAAAGAAAAGCCATGGAACAACTCTTCATTGTGGTTTTATAGCAGGTGCAGAAAAGGGCAGGTACCATCAGTCAATATTGTACCATATTTCTTTTATACCTCAATACCTGTGTAGAATTGAGTGTTGTTTCCTGTTCCGTATGGGTCTTTAAAACAAACCAACGGTGTTTGTCCTGTGACGTATAATGTATTATAGACTCAAGAAGATGTTGCTGACTCTCCATCATACAGATTGTGGTGGCTCACAATTAGACTCATAGAACAAAGGCCTTGTATCAATATTTTGACAAATATCAACAGCTCAATACTCAAGGGCGTAGCTGTGGTGCCAAAGCATGGTTTATCCATAGGAACCATTTAAACGGAGGTACTGTAGTTGTACATAAGAAGCTTCATGTATGCATGGGCTATACGTCCACTTCCTTTCTGTCCTGTAAAAAAAAGTGTGTCACTGATCAACACAGGTGTCTAGATAAAGCTTTGTGACTACCCTCGATAAGCAGACTGTTGTCCCCGTCACCCTTGTTGAATCGAGCCTCCGTCCACCTCCCCCCACAAACCTTGTCTAGCTGAAGTGCACCAGTTGTCGTATCCGTATAAAAGTTAGCGCACATTTTAATATTTCAGGACAATTTCATTCACTGATGGATTCAAAACTTGTACAGTTGATGCCACAAAGAAAACTAGTTCCCTTGGCTGTTTTCTTAAAATGGGTGTTATGAATGATTGTTTACATTTTAGTGCAAATATGTGTGTGCTCATGGTTTTTGTTAAATTATTTAAAAAAAAAAGAAAAGTGAATGACAGGGAAGTCAACCAGAAGCCCTGCGCGGATGAAGGAATGAGTAGAGGTGATCTCCTTTTTGTATATTTTGATATGGAAACAGTCTTGTTGCAGTACTAATAGCCCATGCTGTTGATGTATATTGTATAAACAATGGTGGACCTTATAACAGCTGTTGAAAGTGTTTTTTGAAAGTGACCTTGTAAGGGTAGATGGACTCGGATGCATTGTGTAATGTCACTTATGTGACAGGGTCTTAATCTCATGTTGTGATCAGCTTCAAAGGTTTGTGCATGTTTCACATCCCAATATAAAATTCCTGCAATTTTAAAACATATTTTTAGTTTTTCTTGAATTTGATGCTAAGTCACTGGTTTGGTCTTTAAAATTAGCGTCTTGTTAAGAAATGTGAACAAATTGCTTTTGGTTTTATCTTCTTTCTACATTTTTTGTTCCTTTTTTTTAAAAGCTGTTATTTATTGTTTTTATTCAGAAACTGTTTTGATCAGCAACCAAAAATGAATATTTAAACTAATTAATTTGACTTTTTTGAGATAAGACTTTTGTCCTGTGTTCTTGTTGGATTTTGGAGTAGAGGGAACTGTTAATTTGGGAATTTATAACGGATGTTTAGCACATACTAAACCTTGAACGGTGCTTATAGATTGTTAGAAGCTTGTTTGTTACACATCGGTGAGGAAACTGTGTGTCTCTGTAGGATTTATCAGCGATTTTCTGATGCAATTAACATCATGGTATGTTATGATTTAAGATCCCTTTATTTTGTACCAACACCAAACAGCCATATTATCTCTCGACCTTAAGTTGTATCATCATGTTATACTTCTTCAAACCAAGACTTCATTTTGTGGGGATAGGCTGTCCATGTTAGGTGTTTGGCATCACACATTAAAATGAAGCTCCAGTGTGTTTGTGTGTGTGTGTGTGATAAACTCAATGTGTTCATATGGGGGCTCAACTGTTTTCTCTCCATTCAACCCCTTGTTCCTAGATGACAAACTGGCCTTTATGAAATTCCTACCATGTGGGTATCTGATGCAGACTCGTGTGACATTTTTTTTTATTGTCTTAACAGTGCTTGAAATAAATGCATTGCAAAGGGGCTACAAGGTCCAGGAATACAAAGTGTGTGTCCTCGTCATTTGTCCCTCAAACAAGGTAAACAATTGACACCATAAACAATCAAAATCTTTCTTTGGTTTTATGCCGGTAATGTGTGGCACTTTAAACAGATAAACGCATATATAATATAAATATACATATAGATATCATATTTTGCACTTTGTGTAGCAATAATACACAATGTAAGATAAACGTTTGACTCACTAGATACAATTCAGGGTTTGTCCTTGGCAGTTGTTCTTCACACAGTTTTCCACATTTAATCCAAACCAGTCACATACATGCATGCATACATACATACGTGTACAATATGAATCATCTTTAAACTTGAAAAAAAAGATATTGTTTGTAAAAAGTGACTTGAAGTGAACATTTGAGGATGTTCAAACATGGGAAAAGACACGGATTTCACATATATAGTCTTTTTCATAAGGACATGATTATTTTAAATAAAAAATAACTTAAAGTATACAGTGGGGGGGAAAGCAGCCTTGCAGTTGAAGATAGTCGGGTTCAAATTACCATTATGGGCCGAGTCAATCCGGTGACCCCTCACTAATCGTTCGGGATTTTCCGCTCGGCTTCGTCCCTTTCCGCCCTCCTCATATTAGTTCCCACGCACTCTCCTTCCCTGCGCCGTGCTGAGCTGGAAAATGGCTGTGTAGGGGAGCAGGGAGTCATGAACGGGAGAAGAAAGAAAGAGCGAGAGAAAGAAGCGAAGCAGTAAGTGAACCGAAGGCTTACCTGATGTTTACTGCACACTGAGAAGCTATCGTCCGAAATAAAGCGCCACACGGACTCTTGTCTTCTACTTGGAAGAGTTTAAAGCTCCGCAACCTAAAGTGAGAAGAGTCAAGAAATATCCGCGGGTGAGTTTTTCCAAGTTATTGCACATTTCCAGTACGGCCACTGTACTGGAAAATGGTGGAAGCGCTGCAAGTGTGCACACGCAGCTTCACGATGTTGACTCGTGCCCTGGTTTAAATGTTACAACTCGGGATTTATTTTTGTGTTCATTTAATTTCTTTTGCGCAGTAGGCTACACATTTCGATAAAAATGTATCGTAATATGTGCTCGTCGTGCAGCATGTTGCCCGGTGCTTGTCGACAGTTGGACAGTTGACGTGTAACGTTAACTTACTGAAACATTAACTTTTATTTTGTATAGCTTTGGAGTTGTTTTTGTGTTGTTTCTTTATGACTTGAAAACACGTTTAAGAGGACTTTAACAAGCTGTCAACTTTTTTAGAATTGTAACCTCCGACTTACTTTGTGTAGTTAAATGCTTAATGTGTTAAATGGTGCTAACAAGTTGTACTGCAGGACCTTAACACAGTAAAGAAGCCACACTTTGCAATGTACTCCATGTGTGTACCACCATTGGTACGTTAGTTGTCAGTATCAGTGCCTTTACATCGACTGCAGACTATAGGAGGCCCACACAGCTGAAGGCCTGACATGATGTGTGTGCATCCCTGGTTTGAGGATTTGGCATGCATCAGGAGTTTATTGAAATTGTGCCACTTGCATAATAAGACAAGCCACTCAACTGTGTGGAGACCCATTTTCTCTTCTGTAATTACTGAATCCAGCATTATGCAACCTAAATGTCAATTATACTGCTTTATCAATGTGAAGCACGACTTGTGGCAAAGCCTTCATTCTTCTTTTAAAAGTCTTAAAATGCTCCAAATGACTCGCAGAGCTTGTTTCTTCCAAAAGAAGTGAAGATTTCCTAAAATGCCAAGTGTCGTTTCTCGGAGTGGCTGCATAAAACATCAGCTAACTTCAAGTTCCACCAGACTGAGTACAGCTGTGGTTATTTTTGTTATACGTCCTTCAGCAACCCAGTTAAACTGAAATGGTGTTATTTGATGGAAATAGCAGCAGAGTACGGATCTAAGGACAGCTTAAACGTTACTCTGCTGGAAAAGCTGCACAAGCTGGGCTGGGACTGGTACCCAAGGGAAAAAACAAAATCTGATAGTTGACAAAAGTATGATTGTCTTAACTTTCCAGGAAGATAAGTCAGGCTATTTATACAAATATAGTTAGTCAGTTGTAATATACTTTTTCGAAAGCTCTGTCCTGGATGTGACCAATTGCTTACAGGAGTTGGAAAAACATCACTGACTTGTTGACTTGTCTTCAGGAACAATATTTACATCTTAAGACTTTTTTATAATATCAAAATTCCAATTGATAGTCAGACTTGCAAATTAAATAGATGTAATGTAGGTGCCACTTAATTTGCATTACGTCATCGCCAACCAAATAAAAGCGGTTCCTCATTAATCTCTCGGATGGGATAAGTATTTGATTGGATTTGTCATTGCTGTGTTTACAATGGAGGCCACTGTCTGTTGCCTGCATATATTCACGTTAAGGCAAAATAGAGTTAGTTATGGAGAGGTTAGTGGTTTTATGCATTTATATCGAACTTGAATAGTGTCCAGGTAAAGTACGAGGCTTAGTTACTAACCACTTTCTGGCCTACATGCTAACTTCGCAGTAAAAAGTATTGTGTTATTTTCAACGTGTGCTGACTTTGCAGGTTTGTCAGATTGTATTTCTTTGTTCCAGACACAATGTTTACATATAACATTGTGGTTGCAGAGACTTAAGGTAGCCTTTTAAAGTATTTGAGGCGTTGAATTGCCTGCATCTTATATTTTCTGATAAATACAGTGAGCCGTCTTTAACTGTAGAGCCTTGTGGTGTATTTGACTTTTCAGAACAGTGCCGTCTCAGTGCTTCATAATCTTCGTAGCAGATGTTTCTACTTAGCGAAGTGAGCTTTTCAGCTTCATTAAGGACAGATAGAATTTAGGTGAACATAACTTAAATCATAAAATGCCTAAGCCCACATTTTATGCTGAGAAAATGAGTCCTTTACAAGCGTCTGTGTTGTTGGCCTGTCCTCGCTGCCTGTGGCGCAGTAGATTTTTCAGCTCCATGTGGACAGATGGCTGGAGGCCAGGCTGCATGCGTGGTGACTCTGTAGTCAGCTCCTCACCAGAAGGGCCGTGAAGAGCCAACGCATACACTCACTTTAAAGCATAACTGGGTGTCCTCGTAAATGTTTGAACTTAGTATAATGCATGTATTTCTGTTGGTGAAATTCACGTAATGACAGCAGAAGACTGCAGCCTTTCTTTATGGATGCATGAAATCCATAAAGTGTGCCCCTGAGACATGACAATGTTATCCTTTTGTGTAAGAACACTGTACTAGCTAAGACTGCATTCTCTAATTTATTAACTCACAAACTCTCTTTTAAAAATAATCCCAACCGTAGGGAGAATGTATATGTGTATCTATATTTGCAGTAGATCTGCCAAGGCATGTTTCAAACACTTGAATAAATCTATGGGTTTACCTAATTTAACCCTGAACTACAAAAATGTAACTGTTGATGAAGTCACAATCCATGATGATTGATGTACTACACCCTCAGGCCTTCAGAGAAACGTGTTCATCTGCATTGGTAACTGATAACTAGGTGACAGATTTACAAGACAAGTTAGTTTCATACAAGAGGTATGTTTCATGTGGGTCATTTAATATTTCATATGAAACGATTAAATGGCCACGCTGATATAAGGGCTTGTAATTAGCTTGTTGCCGATAAATCATTACAGTAACAAAGTTTGAAGTGCTTAAGAAACATGGCATAATAGTATGGTATATTTGCACATTGGATAGCAAGTTCATTATTACGAAAAAAGTCAAATATTGTCCTATACCTAACGTATGAGTTACCACTGAAATAGCATAACATTTTATTTTTACATTAATGTTATTTCTATCCACTCAAACTTTAGATTTTTCTAGAAAATATAACTTGCTATTGGATATAGCATCTTATCAACATTTCATTTTTTAAATACCATATAATATGATAATATCTTTATCACTCCCCCCTAATATACAGTATAGCACCATATAGTATATACATTAGTGAACATGTGGCTTAACAATATAAGGAAACGGGGTTAAAAGCCTAATTCATATTTTGTTTTATCAGAGCAACAGTCTTAGAGATTGATTCATATTCCTTCAACAAGATACAATAGAGAAAAGCAGGAATTTCACACATTGGAGAAGCTGGAACCTTAAAACAACCTTGAACATGTTTTTCGAGAAAATAACTTATAATAATAAATGAAATGCTAATTAGTGTCCTGTCAATCAACAAATCAGTTAAAAGACCATTTGTTGCAACTCTTAGTTAGTGCTGGGGTCTATTTATAAATGAAATGATCTTATAAATGAATATATCAGAAGTAAAAAATCTATATTTTAGTTCAAACTACACTAATAAAGTACATCAAGGGCAGTATGAGTATATCTTCAAGCTGTATCAGTCGCTCTTGTCTCACTCCACTGTGTTAGTGACGCTCTGAATAGCTTATTTGACATTATGCATACCGGTGTATAATGAACAGGTCAGAGCTCCAGTGGCTGACTAAACAAATCAAGAGTCATTCGATGTCTGCAGACAGCGGAGGAAATCTCGATGCCATTTTGCGTTCAATCTAGGTCTCACTTTCCCCCGCAGTTAAACTTAATGTGAGTGAGATAAATAGCAAATGTGAAATAAGGATAATATTGATACTAACTGTGGCTGTGGAAATATAATTGTATATTATTTATAGAGTATTCATTACTTTACTAGTACACTTGCACTTGGAGTGGATTTTGTCATAGTTTCTCATCATGTTTCTTTTATAAAGGCCAGCATTTGTTTTGCTTTCTTTTAGTTGCATATAATCATCACATTCATCATCCTGGTAACTCGGGAAAACAGAAATCCTCTCCTTTCATCTCATTGCTCCACTTCAACATGACTCATGGAATTCTCTCCAATCACACGCAGCCTTCAGTTTTTCCATGTTTTGTTTTTCATCATTATCCTGTGGCAGTTTCATTTGATTTTAATCACCGATGCATCAAAGATGATGAGCAGTCATCAAGGATGCACTGATGAAAAAAGTCAGGCGTGTGGGAAAAGCTGGAGTTGTTTGGTTCAGATGTTTGATCACTGCCTAGATACATTTTCTAATATTAGAACATTTCCTTGATTTGCCCGGCTTCTCTGGTGACTGTGGAGCACATGGCCTGAGCAGCAGCCAATCAGAGTGCAGGATTAGCTTTCCCTCTCTCTAGCAACAGTGAGTTACTTGCTGCCTATTCATTAATTATTTTCGCGTGGTCTCCCTCAGCCCGTTGGACTCTGCTGATAGCAAAGTGCTCTGTCTCTCAGTTGGTATTTTTGTTCCCTGCTTTCTGTCGCTCTCTGCTCTGACTGAATACAAAGTCTTAAAAAAAGGATGGATCCTGTGACGCTGAGCCTGCCAGCTGCTGCTGCTGCTGCTGCTGCTGCCCTGAACTGTGAGCCACTTCAACACTATCAGACCAGGACTGTTTCAGAGATGACACTTCTCTCTCCTCGCACGACTTTTTCTCCTCTGGAACTAAATAATAAAAAGGGATTTCTGAATAACAGCGTTCCCTGCGTACTGCTTTTACTTCGCCTTCATCTTCTTTTCTCCTCTTTTCTGCAGCAGCGCTCTCGTAAACAAATAAAACATGGCAACTGGAAAAACGACTGGACTTTTTCGCTGGCTGAGGATGGGGGGGGGGGGGGGGAGCTGCAAGTTGGAGGCAGGACTCTATGTGTGTTTGGGGGGGGGCTGGAGAGCAGGTGGAGAGAGGAAGGAGGGGGAGTTTAGGGTTGGGGGGGGTTATGGTGGTGTGAGGATTGCGGGCTGTGGTTGGGTATGCCAGTGCCACGTGTCTTGCCTGGCACCTCTTGCTTCTCGGCTCGGAGGATGTTGGACCGAGAATCTGCCTGAGCCTGCCCGGCTTCTCTCTGAACCAAAAGTGGGGTGAGTGTTGCACTCTGCCGCATCCACGGTAACTCTTTTTAAAAGATGATAATGTTGCACACAAAGGTTTGCAGTGTACGTACGTTCGCCTTCAGAATATCGTGTTGGGAGAGGGGAGAATCTAGACTAATGTTCGAAAGCATGCACTTTGGTATTCAAAGATGCAATTTCGAGGTTAAGGTTTATTTTTTATGTTCTCCGTAGATTTTATTTAAGCGTCTGTATGCATCACTCGAAACATTTTACACTCAGGAGCGCTAATAAAAATGATTGCACAACATCGGGCCTCGCAAACCAGGCCTATTTTGATTCTGATGTTTTGGGAAATTGCCCCATATAGCTCCTTACTCCTGCCATACAAGAACTTCCCTCCACTGTCTCTACCCGTCCCTCTCCACCTGCTCCATCTCCTCGCCGACCCCCTTTAATCTCGTCCTGAGAGGTTAACAGGACTGCTGTCCTCGCTCGGTCCACAGATCACAGATGTACTTAATCTGGAAACCCTGATCTCTCATCTTCGCTCCCCGTCTCATCTCTTTGTATAGTTGCCATTTTGAATTTTTGAACTTTGTAGCTCAAATTTGGTCAGCCTAAAGACATAAACATTGTACTTCCATGTGTTGCTGTGGATATTATACTTGAGGGTTTTCAAATACGTAAATTCTGATCAGTGTCTGATGAGTTTGATGTATTTTGTTTATTGGAACCTTTTTATTCTGATACAATCGTATCTGTTATGTTGCTGGTAATATTTGCTCACTTTTGCATTTTATTGGGCCTCGATCATCTATTATCAGACAATATTCATTATGGGTCCGTGAATGCCGTTTTTTAGCTGTGCATATATGGATATTAAACTATGACACATTTGATACGAAGGAGTGTGATATTCTGCACGGAAACATTTTCTTTTAAGTGGTATTTTCTGCTATTGTGCAAGGTTTTGGTGCCTCAGCTGACTGTCCATTCGGACGCTATGATTGAGCTATTTTGACAGTAAAGCCAAAGATATTTGAGGCAACACAGAGCTGCCTTTTTTTATTTTCTACGGTGAGGGAACTGTTGTGAAGGGTTCTGCATGTTTCAGAAACCCCTGGTTGCCCTACAGCCGTGAAGCTCAGCTTCTCCTGCATGCTCGTTCTGCGAAAATATTTTCTTCGCCTTCTTTGCATGAATTTGGATGCTGCTAATAAGTTGACGGGACGCCTATTTCACAGTGAAACTTGATGTTCCTGTGGATTATGTGATGGCTGTGGGTGTGTGAATGTAGAGTGGAGGGATTGGAGGCTCCCGTCCAGGGACCCAGTCTGCTGTTGGTCATGACGCAGCAGCATCATCCCATCTCTCTGTCCTAACCGAAGACTGCACAAGTGCCGCAGATCGCCATTTTCATGCCCCGCTTTAAGCTTCGTTTCACATAGATAAGCGCCGCTTTACTAACGGCTATTTATCGAATAGAAACAACATTCATTGGTAATAATTTGCAGTTTTCCGGATTGTTTTTTGTCATTTTAAATAATTATTTCCTTTTTTCCCTTTTTAATTTTTGGGGTTTTTATGTCATGCAGGTCGGTCATAATCTGTGTCCAGAACATGTGGGAGCGTGAGAGAACCGAAGAGGATTAAAGACCTTCCCACTCGTCCTTCAGTCAGACCACTTCATCCGACGGTGGAGAGCCAACGACGCTGGGCCTTCGACTGGCAAAATATTTTACCCGACTGCTCCACTAGTAGCCAGCCAGCAGGTTTTGGCTGCTTGAAAGAGCATGTTGCCAAGGCGCTCCCTCTGCTCCATCATCTGGCTCAACCGGGGTATCAAGCTGAGGAAAGTGTCCACCAACACCGGTCAGGTCTGAAGCTGCTGCCCCCGCAGACACAGCAGCAGCAGAACGCCACCATATCGACTTTTAAAAAAATGCTTCTAAGCTTCGGGTGACTCCCCCTCCTCCCCTCATCCCCCCCGACCCACCAAGAGTTAGTTACTCACCAGCCTTTTTGGTTTCAGAGGAGGATTTTTGTAGAGCCGAACTCTGTCGTCGCAGCGTCATTGGTTGGTACTCTGGCTGCACCATATAATCCTAATTCAGTGGCCATTTTGATTTTTGCTTCCCGGACAAAATGGCGACGGAAGGTTTTCAGTACCTTGCCCTCTACGCCTTCACCAAGGACCAGGAGGAGGACTTGGACCTGCAGCCAGGGGATGTCCTGACGGTCAGCAGGGCCTCGCTGCTGTCCATGGAGAACTACCAGGAGGGCTGCGTGGAGCATCCCGAGCGCCTGGGCTGGCTGCTGGGCTACAACGAGCGCACCAAGCAGAGAGGCGACTTCCCCGGGACGTATGTCGAGTACGTAGGCCCCGTGAAGATGGCGCTTCCATTCAGTCAACCCAGGTTCCAGCGACCCCTCCCTGTTGCTCCAAGACCAGAGTCGTCTCAAGGTAAGAGTTTTTATATTTTACATTTTCACCAAGCATGATACCATTTTAAATTTGAAGTGTTGCAATGTCATACATAGCGTTGGAGATAATTACCTTTGCAAGATCAGCAAAGCACAGTTGTGTACAGTGTGTTGCAAGTTGGATTGCAAACCTTCCCTTTCACACATTTTTAGATGCATTTATTGTAAATTATTTTGTGAAACCTTCTGTATGCAAGTTCTATTTTTTATATTAGTATTGAAAGTTAAAAGACATGACCAACATGTTTACTTTTATCTTATTGGTTTGTTGGTGTGCAGAAATAATCAAAATGGAAAGGCTAAAAATAACAGTTGAAGATAAATGATAGCACCATTTGTGAATCATCTTTTTATTTTATTGTATTATTTTTTAAATTATCTTTTAAGAATAAATCAAAACAATTGCAGGTAGTGTTTTTGACAGCGTTGTTAGTACAGGGCCAGATCAGCTATTGGCTGTTAGATAATTGGTGCTGTTAATGTTTGTTGCTGGTCAACCACCCTGGGAGTTTTGATAGGTCTCTCACATTTGGCAGTGACCTCGAGCTGAACCTTTAATCTATACTTAAACACGTCATAAGCCTTACCTCTTTGGAAGCGCAGCTAGCCAAACCCTCTGTTGAATAATAAAGGGCTAATCCATCTGCGTACTAGACTCTCCTGTACAGGTCTGCCATTGATTCTGTCCATCTGTGTGGCCCCCTTTACATTCAACATTAACATGTGTCCCGGGCTCCAAACTGCATCTGGGCTTATCTGCACAAAAATGCCTGGCTCTCCTCCGCTGTGACTTGTTATTGACCCTCTACTCTACTAAAAGATCACACAGGCAGGAGGGGCTGTACTGTTTTCAACTATGTAATGGCCAAGTTTGAGATAGGAGGGCTTTTTTTGGCAACAGCTTGTTAACCAACGTTTAATGTGCAAATAGTTGTATAACATCTCAGGAAATACAATGTCAAATGTTCTACTTGGAGATACGTGCTCCGTTCTTTTACACCTCTCTTCACTCCTGTGACTTTGGGAAAATATGCACTTCGGATATTTATTCATAATACATTGCTTTGAGCTGCGACAGTGTCCAACTCAAACATTCTCTTGGCTCGGATTGGCTGAATTTAGCAAGCTCCACTTCAAGTAAAAACTTTGATTTGTTTCCAAAATTCTTCTACGCTCCCAAGATTTCCATCATTTTTCTCCTCATTAGCACTCCCTTGCTTTTGGCTTCAGCTGGTTAATTTATTGCTTCCTTGTATGGGATGCCAGAGGAGGCCAAAAGATGAATAAAAAAGTGTTTGTATAATTGTGCATATAAAACCATCCTCTGTCAAAAAGCTGTATCCTCTGTAATTCGCCTTTTCATTTTTATGACAGATGGGCTGAGTACCACTCTGAGCACGTAGGCTGTGAACTCTGAATTACCTCTGGTTGAGCCACTCTGCTATTCATCCCGTCGACACAGTACACTGGGCCTCATTCAATTGAACTCATTTCTCAGTAATAGATTTACTTAAAAGTTAATGTATCCGGTTTTCTTTTCACATGAGTGCCTACAATATAATACAAACTAAAAGTAAAGGGATATTTTAGTAAGTAAGCACAGGCCATAACTTTGTCCTGTGGATGCAGGTGAGGAGCAACAACAGTATCCTCGGGGTTTGACGGACAGTGAAACAAACCAGTCGGGCAGCAGAAAGTGAAACCCTGAGCGGGGGAGGGGGGGGGAAATGGTCAAGTCTAATTTTTACAAAAATCATCTTCATCTCCCAGAAGGAGCCGAGGCCCTGGGTGTTGTGTGAATAGAGCTATTGTTAGCGTGGCCCATTTACTATTCACAGGGATTTTATCATTTGATATCGGGGCTACACTGGTGGTTGGGAAGGTTGACCAAGTTACAGGTTAAATCCCAACGTCTGTTCTTTAACACGTAGCGGGAAAGGGCGTCCCCTCAGGTGAGCCACCACGCCGTCCAAAAGCTAGTTGTTTTCTTTCCCTAGTCAGTGCATTTTGACTTACTTCAGTGACTGGCTTGGTTAGGACATGTTCCTGCTGAGCAACATTGCTTATATGGAGTTGTTTATTTAAGTTTCAGTTTTATTCAAACATTTGGATTTTGTTATTTTAAATAGAGCAACAATTGATATTAACTTCCCTCCACATTACTTCTACTGCGACACTCTCTCCGTCTCAGGTCTTTGTCAGGCAAATACATGCATGTAAAACTCTCATTGGACACCCAGTTAAGAGTACTGTTGCCAAAAGATTAGGTTTCTATTGCTGAAATCGTTCTGCTAACTGGGTTTATAAATCTCTTACCCAGATGAAGGACTATGGGTTTCTCATTTCCATAAGGTGACTGCGGAAAGTCGACAACAACCCGTCTACTTTAGTGCAAACAAACCAATGTTTTTCAGCAGTAGCAGTCAAAATGAAAAGTTGGTCAAAAGATGCAAATGGCTCAGCTTTTCTTGTTGCTAAAACAGAAAGAAGGGTTGGCTGATGATGGCATATTATTGTTAATATTTGTCAGAGACGAACAGCAATAAGAAAAGGGCCCTTGACCTGATGATGCATCACTCACAAACATACAAGAGCTTTTATGAATTGTTGTATGCTTAAAAATTAAATCCACATAACTGTTTTAAAGTAGTTCATATTTGATTTCTTTTTGTGGTTCTTTTTAGCCTTGTTTTAAAATACAACAGCAGTGTTTCTGCATCAAACTACTAGTTATAGTACATTTTGGCTGGTTAACTAAAACTCATCCATCTCTGTTGTGCACATTTGGCGTCAGTACAACTTTTAGTAAGTAGGCTAAGTATATTTTTCGAGACAAATGATGAGTATAAATCAGTTTCATTCCCCAGGGGGAACGTTTCTCAACTTGTAGCAGAAATAATTCTACAAACCCAGAGAGAGTTTTTCTTTTTTCTTTTCCTCTCCTTTCTGTCTCTCCTCTCCCTGGCCTCACTTTAACTGCCTGCTGAAGTGAACCATGGCTTGGCATGTTTGCAAACTCCTCCCTTCTTACTCCCTCCCTCCCCTCTCTTTCTCCCCCTCTTTTGCAGCCTCCCTCCCTGATTCACATACATGTCTGATACTGTCTCTGGGCAGCTATAAACCATGTTAGCGCCGGGGCTAGTTCTCAGAAAGGAGAGGCCTCAACTCACTCTCCGCTCCCTGTGCCTTACCAGGAAAACACTTTCAAAGAACCCATGAAGGGAGGCGGGGGGGTCGAGAGAGAGGAGAAAGTGAATGGGAAAGATAAGGAGAGGCTGGAAGGAGAGGGAGACGAGGGCTACATTGTAAGCCAAGGCCACCCTATCCAACTGCAAATATTAGAACCAGCTGTATTCGGTTTCCCTTCTGACTCTTGTATTTTCCTCCTGCAGTTCAGTAAATGTAGCATGTTACATTTGCAGGGTTATAGAAAATCCTTCTTTAGTGCCAGAGCAGTAACTGAGAACTCGTTTAGGCGTAAAGTTGTCTTACTAAAAGATTAATGGCTTTCACAAAACCACAAACTGAGTAAAGTATATTCCGTACAGTTGCTCACTGTAGGAGTGAAATCAAATCAAGTTTCCTGTTTAGTGCTTTTAGATTAAAATAATGGTACTAATGTGAGGTAGACTATGAACCAAATTATTCTCAGAGAGTCTGTATTTTTCTTCTGTGGGCAAAATCTCCAACTCAGCATTATATACATGTGCATGCTTCACTGAGTTGAAAGTATAGACTGACCGTGTCTAAAGGCAAAGGTGTTTATAGCTGTTCAAAATAGCTACGCTTGAAGGTGGGGTTTAAAAAAAAAAAACAGTGTGCCCAATTTTACCACGTCTCCTTTTTAAGGCATTCATGATGTTGCACAAAATGACTGCAGAAGTTATGTGAAGAATTAAAAAAAGGGCTTAAGCGATAAGTTAAAGTCCTGCCTACTTTATCACATCTGCTCAGTCGCTGCGAGAAGTGGGCATGAATGTTGGATTGACGCTTTTGGAAAGTTACAGAAATTGTTGGGTGCAGCTGGCCTTACTCCAACACTGGAAAGGCGTGGGGGAGGGGTGTTCAGACGGTGTTCAACAATCTGACAAGCACTTTGTTAGAAGCACACTGGTCCCATTACTTTTAGACTGTGGAGAGTCATGTAACACTGACTCCAGTTGGACTCAATGCTATTTTGTCACACAGTCCTAGATGGCAATGTACCTGTTAATACATTCAGAAGCTTCACCAAACATTTACCAAAAAGCACGGGTGGGGGAAGTACTCAGATCTTGTACTTAAGTAAAAGTAGAAGTACCACAGTGTAGGAATACTCTGTTACGAGTAAAAGTCCTGCATTCAATCAGCATCAAAATATACTTAAATGTAAGTAAAAGTACTCATTATCCAGACTTGCCCATTTCATAATAATATATAAGTTTTGATTATAATTATTGTTGCATTAATGTGTTTATCAACGCTGGTAAAGGTGAAGCTCATTTGAATTATTTGTATACTGCAGGGTAGCTTGTGAATGTACTCAAGTCTTACTTAAGAGTTGATAATATTTCACATCATTAATCAACATTTTCAAAGTAACTAAAGATATAACATGTAGTGGAGTAAAAGTAAAATATTGACCTCCTGACTTGTAGTGGGAAGAAGTACAACGTTTATGTTAGCAGAGTAAGCTTTACGTTCATTGCTGTTTAGCATCCAAATAAGCGGAGGAATAACGAAGCATCCGAGACAGTGGCATTTCATTCAACGGACACTCCCATTGGAGGCGTGGCTTTATTTATACCCGTCATTGAACTTTAACCTGGTTCGCTATTGGCTTCCAGCCATGCACAACAAATCACAAACACAAATTGGTAAGACATTTACCTGAATGTTAACACCCCCACTTGATATCACATTTGTGGTCTTTTAACAACAAAAAAAACCATTATAAGGTTCTCTACCTTACAGGCATTATTACCCCTAGATTCCACCGGG